TGAAGGGACTACCCTGAGAAATCTTCTTGCTTTCAAAATCTGACAAAGCCTATGATACTACTTTTTACCTGATGAATTGCCAGACCCATGCAGGCCAATGTTTTTTCTGGCATATCTCTTAATTCAGTTGCAATGTTTGGTATCGAGTTAGTCAATGTATCATCTTGTGTCAGTTCTTTAAAATCCACTAAAACACTCCCTTTTCTTTCTATTTCATCCTAGAATATAAAGACATAAGGTCATATTTTCATCATGCATGCAAAATTTCACATCTGAATTTTAAAAAAGGTATTTTCATTAAGTACTTTGAAAATATATATTACACATTAAGATAAGAATCTTGTTATATGGGATTCTTACCTTATCGTACAACTCGATGTGCTTTGTGAAAAAATTTTCAAACGCTTGGATCTTCTGAACAAAAGGAGAGCTATCGCTGTAAACTAATCCAACATATGCCATCAGTATCAAAAGAGTTATGTATATACATATGTATGTATGTAAGTATATTTATAAACATACACACACACATTCTACCTTAATGCATATAAACATTACAGAGGTCTCATGGACTAAAAGGAATATCAGAGGATTGGGGATTAGGAGATCTGTGTTCTATGTCCTCCCCCAATGAGTGACCTTGGGAAAGTCACTTAACGTCTACGAGACCTCAGCTTTCTTATGTGTAAAATAACACTTGGCCGAGATGATCTCCAAGGTTGTCCCTGTTCCAAACTTTTCCTTTTATGCAAAAGCTTAAGTGATATTCCTGGTTATGATAAACTGAATGTCCATGTAGCCAAGGGCCACTCGAGTATCTTATCTCACCCTGATGGGTAATGGGAGCTTTGAGCTACTGTTTTTTAACTGAGTTGGTTTAGTTATCTTCAGGCAGCGTGATGGTTCTTAGCTTCTAGGGCTAGGGTTCACCATATTGGTGTTGGACTTAGTGTGGATACTTGATTGACCTAGCTCACTACAACTTGGAGGTCAAGAGATCTACAAGCCTCAGCCAGGAGCTGGGATTATAGGAGTACACCACAATGCCTGGATCACTACCGAACTATTAAATAACTAAATCCCATCCAGATAGGTTCACAGATTTAAAGCTGGAAAATGCTTCAGTAGCCATCTAATCTGGTCTTTTTATTTAAAAGATGAGAAAACCAAGGCTTAGAGAGATGGAGTTGTTTGGCTAAATTCACACAAAAGGAAGCAGCAGAATCAGGATTTATAGGACACAGACTGAATGCAAGAAGGGCCTGATAAAGGCCATCATGCCCAGCCCCCTTGTTTCACAGATGAAGAGAATGAGACACAGAAAGGTTGTGTGATTTGCTCAATGTCACTGAAGCAAACTAAGTCTCTGAGTTTTAAACTGCAGTCTTCCTGCCTCTCTCTATGTCCCATGCCTACATATAAAGCCGAGTATCCCTTCTCCAAATACAGAACCTTTCCACCATGTCATGCTGCAGAATACAAATTTTGTTTCATATTCATATTCTGGGTTCCAGAAAGTAGCCAAGAAAACATCATTTATTCTCTTCACTCTTAACTTTACCTTCAGAGAAATAAAACTTCCACCCTTTATATGGTATGAATTGGTCTAGAGTTGATTGCCGCGGCCAAGGTTCTGGGTTTTGTACTGAAAGATATAATAGGTTATGATTAAACATTCCCTAAACTTTTTCAAAATGATTCCTAAACAATTAAATATCTGTTTTCAAAGGAATGATATTAAAAAATCTCCAAGATAAGAGTATCAAAAAGCTTCTTTGGCTATTAAGTATCACACCCCGTAATGTATACCATTAACTCTCATGCAGTGAGGAGCTTCAGTTCTTCCTCAAGCAATAAATAAAATGTCATACTTACATGAAACATGTTTCTCTGTAGTTTTCTTCCCATCATTTCTTTGTTCTTTTCCTCTCCCTCTACCAGAGCCCCAACCACCTCTTCCTCTTCTCCAGCTTTGAAATCCTCCTCGCCCAAATCCTCTGCCTCTAAAATTGGTACTCATGCCCTATTGAGAAAAATTTAAAAGGATTTAGCCAAATCCACATGGATAATACCTGAAAATGTACAATAGTAAATACATTTGAAATAATGGAATAGATCACAATCTGTTAGTAATCATACTTATCATATCTATACCAAGTACTCTCCAATCTATTTATGTAACCCTACCTTCTTTCCTGACCTTCAATCTCACATCTCTAGTCTTCCTGTCTCTGAGGAAGTGAAAAAGCATTTGTATACTGCCTATGGGCCAGTCACTGTGCAAGTGCTTTTTTCACAAATATTATCTCACTTTCAATTGGACATTTCAAACTAGATATCTTATAGGTATCTTAAATTCAACATGTCCAATATGCCATTATCTTTCCCCAACAAAACCTCCCTCTTCATAACTTCCCTATTACTTTTGAGGGCAACCACCATTCTGTCACCCAGGCTTGCAATTTAGGTGTCATCCCTGACTGCTTACTTTTATTCACCTCCCATATCCAATCAGTTGCCAAATTCTGGCAATTCTACATCTCCAATATCTTTTGTATTGTATCTCCTCTCCTTTGACATTGACTATTGTGCAGGCCCTCATCACCTTATACTCACAATATTGCAACAGCGTTCTAATTGGTCTCCTTACCAAATCTTTCCCTATTATAGTCCATCCCCCATTCAACTGTCAAAATGTTATTACTATTTTTTTTTTAGTGAGGCAATCAAGCTTGGATTCACCTGATATATCTGTATCATTTTTATCCTATATCTGTCAGTCAGCAAATATTGATTGAGTATTTATTATATGCAAGGTACTGTGCTAAGACCTGGGGATATAAAGGCAAAACAGTCCCTGCACTCAAAAGCTCACATTCTAATGGGAAGACAACATGAAGACGATGCATATTTTTGCTTTTTTAGATATATGTCTTACAAGCAACAGATTATAGTTTCAAGAAATTTTCAATTGCTTTTAGGATAAAATATAAATTCCTCTGTTTGGCATTTAAAGTACTTACTGGTTTAGATCTAACCTTTCTTTGTAGGCTGAGTAAACATTACTTCTCCCTCATTCTACATTTCAGCCAAATTGCTGCTCCTGATATGTGACTGCATTAACTGCTTTTGCAAAGGCTGCTCCCCCATACCCAGAATGCTTTTTATCTGCCCACTACCCTCTTAGAGCACCTAATTTCCTTCAAGGTTCAGTTCAAGTGCTACCTCCTTCAAAATGCTTGTCCTGGTTCCACAGTGATTAATCCCCTCCATGACCCACTTATGAAATTATTTGGCATACATGCTATATTTACTTATCTATGAACATAAGATCCTGAAGGCAGCAACTATCTCATTTTTTGTTTTTGTGTTGCCAGCATCTAGTACAGTGCCTGGCATGCAGTAGCCACTTAAATGTTGGTGGACTGCTTTACAGATATAATCAGAGATAGTTCTATGATCTACTGATTATCAATGTTAAGCAAAGTATGAAACATTAGGATATATGCTCACCAAAGGTGTTCACCACTGTCATAGAGGATGGTTTGTGTAGGTTCCAAATATAAGGGGTCCCCAATAGATAATAGTATCCTCTGGATGTTCCTGTTTACAGATGACATTATGTTAACCACATGAAGTATCAGAATACTAGAGTGCCTCCTCAGCAGGACCCATAGTCACTCAAAACAAATCAGTTTATCTATCTACACAAAAAAAAACAAGGAGATTAAGAATATTAAATAACTGGATTATGAAATGCAGATGGATGGGAAGTTGATGGATTGATCCCTTTAGCATATCTTATAAAGGCATCCTAGATGGACAATTAGCTGCCCCAGATGTTAAATACGAGAGAGGCAAAATTACATTCAGAAAAATGTGCAGTATCCCAAGCTGTTCTAAAACCTGTCTTTTTAAAAATACCAACATTGTCCTAGTAATCTTATATGGCTGTAAGTCATGGTACACTCCAATCAAAATCAAAGGTGACACAGAGAAGCAGGATAGACATGGATGTGTAGGCTGTAATATATCAGCAAAGGTGACCCGGGAACAAGGTGTGGCATAAAAGACATCACCCAGGAACCTATAAATGAAAAAGGAGGTGGGTCCAGTGATGTATTAAGTTGAGAAATAATAGATGGTCAACCCAAGTGCTACGCTGGCAAATACAAAATAGTTACAAACTTTAAAAACAAGGGTTATAAATTTGGGGGCACTTGAACACTTAAAAAATATATTTTAATAACTATTTTAACATAATTAGTTTCCATTATAATCCTATTTATTTTATGCACTTGAAAACATTATTTTGAGAAGGGGCCCAGGGGCTTCCCCAGACTACAATGACACCGAACCTCTGCCCTAAAAGGAGGCCTGAAACAAATGAGGGAGCTCTGCTTTGAAAAATTTACAGGAGGCCACGGCCTAGGGCGACACAGGAGATGGCTGAATGGCGTGGGGGGGGGGAGAGGAAGGCGGCGGAATGGGAGGCAACCGGCGAATGGAGAAATAAACCCCAAGTCGGGCTTCCCTTACTCAACCCGCGCCGTGACCAAGGTCCCTCCCTCCCGGCCGGTCCGTGGGGCGAGGACGCGCGGTCACTGCCGCCTGCAGCCGAGCCCCTCGGGGCCTTCTCCTCACCCTCCCCGGGAATCTCGAAGGGGCTGCTCAGGGACGGCGGGAGGACGTCTGAAAACTCAAACTGGGCCTCTCCGGCGCCGCTGGGAGCGACCTCCAGGGAGGGAGAGGCGCAGTCTAAGCCCGGAGCCCGAGCCAGGCGGGCGACAGAAGACGACCGAGAACTCTCAGAATCTCCAAACCGCCTTCTCTAGTCCGAGGGTTCTTTTTTTCGCGCCTGAATGACGCACTTCCGCCCAGGGGAAGCGGCTAAGGAAAGGGAGGGAATAGAACAAGCTGGAGCCAATCGGAGGCTTAACCAGGCGGAAGTTGGAAGGGGGCTGAGCCCTCCTGGCCGGAAAGCGGAAGCGGCGTGCTCCGGGATCGTCCTGGAGAACAGGCGGCGAGGTTAGGTCTTGGCTTCGGAGATTCTCAGGTCTGATGGAGGGAGCTAAAGGAGAGGGGCCGGCTGGAGGCGGCGCCATGGAGAACAGCGTGGAGCAGCCTCGCCAGCAGGACCACCTCATTCGGGATGGGGACTTTGTGGTGCTGAAGAGAGAGGACGTGTTCAAAGCCGTGCAGGTGCAGCGGAGAAAGTGAGTAAAGGTACCCCTGGACTGGGAGGCGGAGGAGGGAGGAAGAGAACCCCTTCGGCACCTTCCTTTCGGGGTCTGCCCCCACCCAGCCTTCTCCTCCTCCTGGGCCACCCGATCCAAGCCCAGGTGCACCTTTGTTCACGCACCTCACACATACCGGACCAGGAGGAGAAGTAGGCATATGGCCCTTGCCCGTCCTCCCTCTGCCGCCATCACTCAGCAGCCCCGCAGCCTCTGAGGTGCACGCTGCCTGGCCGTGGGGCTCTGCCCACATGGTGGGCTGGGGACGAGGTGATGCCGTTATCTACCGGCCACTAGGACATCTTCCTTTCTCCAGGAGCTCAGCACCTAGATCCCAGTCTTCCTCTCTGACTCTACCCCGATCTTATACTTGGGGACTTCAGTTTACATGTTGATATCCTCCTCAAAAACTTTGCGCTCCCACTTCATCAACCTCCTTAACTCCAGCGACCTATACCTTCACTCCATCCCAGCTGCACACGGGGAGTCTCATCTTTCTTCTCCCTGTCATCTATAAGTGTTCCACTTGGATCGAGAACTCTGAAATTCCTCTGAGGATGACCTCCTACTCTGCTGTTTGTCCCTATGCTTCACTCCTCCAACACTTATTCTTCCTCATCACTTTGACTTCCAGATCCCACCCCCTTTGCTCTTTCAAGCCATCATCCCTGCTCTTTCACATGGCTTGGCACATTGAGCTTAATAAATTCTTATCCATTCAGTCATTCATTCATTCATTCATTTCCTTCCCTTTCCACTTTTCACTCTAGTTAACCAGGTCAGCTGTTCACTGTTCTCTGCTCTCCAGTCACTTGCCTTCTTGACCTACTGCCACTCATACCTGGCCAAACTTCAGCCTTAGATTACCCTCACCACCTGTCTCCCTCTAGTGCTACAGAACAGCGTTGGAGGAAGTCACACAACTTTGTTGACTGGGTCCACCATAAATTTGTTATCACTTATCAGATGGGCCTTCAAGTTTCGTAGTGTGAAGATCAATTGGTTTGGAGTCAGAGGACCTGGGTTCGAATCTCACCTTCATGTGTGAACGTGGGCAAGTCATTTTTCTGCTCTTGACCTCAAAGTTTTCTCATTTATGAAATGAGGAGATTGGACCAGATAGTTTTTAAGGAAAAGGGGTAGAAAGTTGGAGACAGACAAATTTAAATTTAGGCTAAATGTAAAAAGAAACTTCTTAACAATCAAGTTATATAAAAGTGACATAAGCTGCCTGTGAAGATAGGGTGCCTCCCATTAAAGGACTTCAATCAAAGACTGAGTGACTGCTTATATATATGTATGTTGTAGAGGAGATTCTTGTTCATTTATAGGTTAGCTTAGATAGTTTTCATTTCTGAGTCTTTGAATCTTCCTTTTTGTTTCAGGTGTTTCCATCTACCTTGCTGCCTCTTCATCCTCTTCCTTGTCCTTTAAGGTGTCTGTTCCCCTGGTCAACTTCTCTCTCTACGCTTTCTTCTTAGGCAATTTCATTCATTTCTTCAGCTTCAAATGTAACTTATTTATAGAAGACTCCTAAATCAGTCATATGCAATCTGAGATGTGAAAGAGATCTGAGAAGCCAACATGTCCAGCTTGTATCTGACCAAAAATCATTTCTACAACATTGCTGTCAGATTGCCATTTAGTTTCTGATTTAAATCCTCTGGTGAGGGAAACTCCCTTGTCTTTCTTCTGAACTCCAGACCTAACTTCATGGAGGAGATGGTGCCTGAAATCAGTTTAATTAAGCAAGTATTTATTAAGCACTTACCATGTCCCAGGCAGTTTACTAAGCACTGGGATTCAGAGATAAAAATGAAACTCTCAGGAGCTTGTATTCAACTTGGAGAGTGGGATGGGGGAATATGTGGAAACAACATGTGCACAGCTAAGTAAATGCTCAATATATAAATAATAAATGATAAAAATATAAATAATAAATAAATATAAAAAACAACTTAGGGGAAGGGCACTAACAACTGAGGATATCCAGAAAGGCCTCTTATGGACAGAGCCATTTGAGCTGAGCCTTGAAGGAATCTAGGATTCTAAGGCAGAGGTGAGGAGGAAAAGCATCTTAGTCATTGGAAGAGAGCCTGCGTAAAAGGCACAGAGTTGAGAGATGCATTGTCACATACGGGAAATGCCAAGTAGTTCAGTTTACCTGGAACATAAAGTTCTAGAGGGTGAGTAACAAGCATTCAGCCTGGAAGGGCAGGCTAGAGGCAGATTGTGAAGGGCTTTAAATGCCAAACAGAGGAGTATATGTTTTATCCTAGAGACAGTAGGGCTCAGCAGATCATAGATTTGAATTGGCAAGGATTTCAGCCAGTCAGTAAGCATTTATTAAGTGCCTACTCTGTGCCTGCACCATACTAAGCTCAAAGGATACAAAGGCAGTTCTTGCCCTTGAGGACTTCACAATCTAATTGGGAGAGACAACAAGGAAACATCTATGTACAAACAAAGCTATAAGAGAAATACTGAGGGAAAACTCTAGAATTAAGAGGGATTGGGAAAGGTTTCCTATAGAAGATGGGATTTTAGCTTGAACTTGAAGGAAACCAGAAAGTGGAGTTGAGGAGGAGGAGCATTTTGGGCCTAGGGGATAGCCGGTGAAAATTCGTGAAGCCAAGGCTTAAAGTATCTAGTTCAAGCAATAGCCAGAAGGCCAGTGTCACTGGATCTAAGAATGTGGACAGTGGACAGTGTCATAAGATTGGAAAGGTGGGGGGAGGTGCTGGGCTATGATTTAATCCTAGAGGTGATAGGGAGCCTCTGGAGTTTACTGAGTAGTGAGATGATGTGGTTAGACATGAGCTTTAGGAAAATTATTTTAGTGGCTGAATGTAGGATAAATTGGAATGGACAGAGATCTTTTATTTAGTCCAGGGCTTAGACTGCAAAAGGAGTCCAGGATAACAAAAAGTAACACCTTATCTAGTTCATACCCAAGGCCACACAGATAATAAGTAGCAAAAGTGGGAGCCATTGAAGCTTTTTGAGTGCAAGTCAAGCCTCTGTGGTCAGAGGAGAGAGGGCAGGATCGCCTTCAGAAAATTGTGAGGCTTCTTTAATGACACCAACCTTCTTATGAAAGCACAGCCTATTTTATTGATATTAACATTCTACCAGTATTGCTGTATGGCAGTATGACATTGAAAACAACTGCTTCAGTAGCATTAGATACAACTATCACACAGAGGACAATAGAGAGATTCATGGTGGTTTTGAGCAGACTGCAGCATATAAGTGGCAAAGAACTCTGAAGGATGGGAATAAAAGACATCTTCAAGGAAGATATGATGGGAAGACAAGATGGCCTGGTCACGTGGCAAGAATAATAATGACAGGTATACAGCTAGATTGTTCCACTGGTAGCCCTGTGATGTCAAAAAGAAATAAGGAAGGCCTTATAAGAATACTTGGTCAAGAGTTGTACAGAATAAACATGGGTGGGTTTTGCTCTGTATTATTGAAGGAAATTTCTAAATTGTTGAGATCACAGAGCCATTCAAGTATTTGAGATAAGAAAAGGGCAGTTTATAGGGGAAGCTAGTGTATTCTCTTTTGGACATGTTGGATTTGAGATCCTGGTGGAACATCTAGTTGGAAATTCCAGTAGGGAGTTGGTGATACAGTATTAGAGCTCATGAGAGAAAATAGGGCTGAGTATATATAATCTAAGTCATCTGCATAGAGGTAATAATTGATCCTGTGAAAACGAGATCACGGAGAAAAAAGAACATTCAAGAAAAAGCTTGGGGTACACCCATATGTAGGGTAGGGGACATGGATAATAATTCTGCCAAAGAGAATAAGAATTGTTCAGACAAGTAGGAAATGAATGAGCCTTTAAGGAAGCTTATTGTAATTTTGTTTGCACAGAATATTATTATTTTTCTTTATATTTGGGATATGTCCTTTCCCTGCCTTCTCTTCCCCAAGATTCTTTTTGCTCTTTGACCTGATATAGCACATTGTTTTACACCTTTCTGTTCACTAGTTTACATTATCTTTACTAGATTATAAGCTATTTGAGGGCAGGAATCTTGTTTTATTCTTTTCTCCCCCAAAGCTAACTTCATGTTCCATACACAATGGATTTTCAATAAATGCTTGAATTAAGTGTAATAATATATACTTGATAGTGATTTATGGAATATTAAGATTAACCATATCCTTCCTGCATTGGTAGAAATTTCTAAAACAAAGAAATCACATATCCTGTGCCAAAATAAATTTTTTTTTTTATTCCTCTGACATATTCTATAGATGACTTGTCTTCCCAGATAAATTGTAAGCCTTTTAAGGGCCAGATTTTATCTTCTACAGGGTCTACTAAGGTGCCTTGCACATATTGGGAACTTGAAAAATTGACTTTTGATGCCAGAAGCTTAGAGACTTTTAATATTAAGATGGTTTTATTAAGATGTGGTTTTCTTTGAAATGCAGCTGAATCTATCCTTGTGTCAAGGTGTGGCCCGTAGGTTGTTAATTCAATATATGTGAGCCCACCCTTGGATCTGAGTTCTGAAAAAGAAGTTCTCTTTTGGTTCCTGATCAATAGAAGGAAGTAAATGAAGAAGTACCTGTCTTTAAAGAAGTATTGAAACTTTAAAGTGCAGACAACTCTTAGAGAGAAGACCCGAGGAGAGATTAGTAAGATCAGAGATACTTAATATCATTGGCTTTTAAAACATTGTCATTTTGTAACTTCCCCCTTTTGTTATTTTAAAATCACTGTTTCTAACAAGATCCTTCTAAAACCTAAGGGTGGGCTGTGATTTTGTATGTAGGAGGGAAATGGGAGAAATGGAAACTTGTGTGCCCCTAACAGATAATCTGAGAGGTGAAAAACCCCAAGGGAAGAAAGGGTAGTAGCAATAGAAGGGAGATGGGAACCAGGCTGGCTCTGAGGATTGAATGTTGGCAGGAGGGCCCTTGTAGAACCACAGATGTATAATAATTATGGGATTGATTAATTGAGATATTTCTTTCCCTCCCCTCTTCTGTCCCCTAGTCTTTTGTCTTCTTTCCTTGACAGAGCTGGAGATCCTTCTGTAATGATTATAGCTCATAAGCACAACTATTCCCTAAAACTCCAAGAGTTGAAGCTGAAGAATCATTACATTCCTGGCCAAATTCTCTTTCAGGTTAGAAATAGCACAGATCTTGAGATGTGAGAACACATTTGTTTGTACTTTGAATCTTTTTGAGTTGAAAAGGACTTCAGAGGCCATCTAGTACAATTCATGCTTGAAAATAGTGTCTTTCATGACATTTCTAAGAAGTGTTTGTTTTAGAGGTTCCCAAAAAGATATAAAACTTTTTTTTAAAAAAAATGATGCATCTTAAAGTTTAATGATTTATTGTAAATTTGTGGGTTTTTTTCCTGCATTGAAATTTTGATGATGTAATATTGCATCATTTAACCACATAGTATTTATTGTAATCAAGTCATTACACGCACATATTCCTGCCAATGCATGCTGGACTTCCCAGCAATGTTTGACACACTTGTCTGCCAACAGTTGCTTGTTAAGACTTGTCGGTGGACTCAACCACTGATTGGGTTGTAACTTGCATTTTGTGTGTTTATTTGGAAAATAATGTAGTCACTACGACTTTAACTGTTACACAACAGATGAAACATGTACAAATGGTTTTTCAAAATTTTGTTATCTTTTCTTCTTTCCTTATACTTCCACCGCCCCCTTATTTTTATTCAACGCCCCCAATTACACTGGAGGCTACTATCACCACCTCCCCATTGTTCCAGTGGGGACCCCTCCCCCCAGAGGGGTGTATCACTCATTTTGGGAACCTATGGCCAACCATTAAAAGAATAATAATTAGCACAAATATAGCACTTAAAGGTTGGCAAAGTGCTTTACAAATACTTATCCACACAATGACCCTAGTTCTATTATTATCCTCATTTTACAGTTGAGGAAACTGAGGCAGAAGTTAAGGGTCACAGGCCTAGGATCACACAACTAGTAAGTGTCTGAGATGGATTTGAATTCAGATCTTCCTGACTTAAGTCTAACATTATCCACTTTGCCTCACTACTTCACTACCTCACTAATTTCTGTTCTATTTTTGATGGCTTTCTGGTTGTTGGGAAGTTTTTCCTCACATCAGGTCTAAATCTAACTATTTTCAGGGCAGCTAGGTAACTCAGTGGATAGAGCACTGGCCCTGGTTTAGGAGGACTTGAGTTCAAAATCAGCTTCAGACACTTACTAGCTGTGTGACCCTGGGCAAGTCACTTAACCCCGATTGCCTCCAAAACAAACAAACCAACAAACAAATCTGTTTTCAACTTCTGCCCTTTGTTCCTTGTTCAGCTGAGTTTGGATTCCAGCAGAAAAGTCTAATATCTTCCTTATAAACAACAACATTTAACGTTATTAATATTATATTGTATATAATATAAAATATAGTAATATTAAAAAAAATACTTGAAGAGAGCTCTCAACCTGCTTAGACTTTTTGGATTAAAACTAACATTGTTTTCAGATCTGTAGAATGGATTTAAACCTGTATAACATTGTTCCTTATATCTTATTACCTTGTCCCTAATTTTCGTTCCCTGTCAACAAGAAAATGAAAGAGAAAACACATTTTGTTTTTTGTGCATATTGTCTATTTAAAAAGCAAGATCCATAATTTGCAACCAAAAAAGAAAGCAACTAGTGATTGGTTCTCAGAGGGTTTGGTTTTTTTTTTTAATCAACTTAGCCTAACTACAGAGGACTTAAATCTCTTGTATCACCCCTACCCCTTGGACCCTCAAAGAGTTCAAGACTTACATTTTGCTGAGAATAAAAATCATTTATCTGTGAAGGGAAGGGGCTGACTGAGAATACTGGGAATGAGGTAATGGGATATATACAAATATTAATATCATTTGGAATTAATTATTTGTTACAAAAGAGGAGTGTAGATAAGGGAGGATCTGCTTAACCAGATTCTATTGACCCCATTTAATTATCTTTTGAGAAGCTTGAATTGTCTTGAGAAACATGGATTACAGCATTAGACTAGAAGAAGTCAAGAAACAAGGACCAATGTTATAGTGACTATTTTGAGTGAATCACAGTAATCTATCCCTGTTTCCCCACAATGAAAAGAAACCATAATATTCTTACTTCTTCATACTATCTCTGAATCAATCAATTAAAACATAAAAACTTCTACTGTGTGCTGGTCGTTGTGCTAAGTAAGCACTGGTCTCCTTAACTACCTAAAAATGTATTTAAGGATAAGTGAATGAATAACATTGAACTACTCAGACTGAAAATATTAACTATATTCAAGGTGGTGGTATTGATCTAGGATTTGCTTGAAAGTAGTTATTTTATTCAGTATATGAAAAATCAAATGTAGAAAAAAATAGGATCCTTATTATAGGCATCTATTAGTAAAATACTAAGGCAGCATGATACATCAAAAAGCGGGAGTTAGGAAGATATTCCCTATCTGACATAGAGATATATCTATATTATATATCTGTATCTATCTATGTAATATAATATCTATATTCAGGTTCCTCATTTGTAAAAATAGTGTAGGACCTACCTCCCTGGGTTGTTGTGAGGCCTCTGTGAGATAATGTCTTTTTTACAGGCACTGCAAACTTTAGCACTATGTAAATGTAAGTTATTTCTAGGTGGCACAGTAGTTAAAGTGCTGGACATGGAATCAGAAAGACCTGAATTCAAATCTAGACTCAGACACTTACTAGCTGTGTGACCCTGGGCAATTCACTTACTTTGCTTCCTTATCTGTAAAATGGAGATAATGATAATCACCTATCTGTGTAGTAGGTGCTATTCAGAATAAAATGAGGTATTTGTTAAATGCTTTGCAAACCTTAATATTATATAAATGCTAGCTGTTCAGTTCACGTCCTTGTGCTTCAGTTTTCTTGTCTGTAAAAGAAGAGTGTTGGACTAGATGACCACTGAGGTTTCTTTAAGCTTTTTATCCATACAGTATTCCTCAAAGACGTTGTGGGTTCAGTTCCAGATCACTGCAATACAGAGAATGTCACAATAAAGAAAGTCACAAATTTTTGGTTTCCCGGTGCATATAAAAGTTAGGTTTACATTATACTTTAGTCTGTTAAATGTACAATCTTATTATGTCTAAAAAACAATGTATATACTTTAATTTTTAAAATGCTAACCGTCATCTGAGCCTTCAGTGAGTCATATTCTTTTTGCTGGTGGAGGAGGCAATGAGGCAAGGTTGATGGCTGCTGACTGATCAGGGTAGGGGTGGCTGTGGCAATTTCTTAAAATAAGACAATAATGAAGTTTGCCACATTGATTGACCCTTCCAAATGATGAAAGATTTCTCTGCAGCATAGAGTGCTACTTGATAGCATTTTACCTGCAGTAGAGCTTCTTTCAGATTTGGAGTCAGTCCTTAAACTGTATTGCTGCTTTATCAACTAAGTTTATGTAATATTCTTCAATATTGTTGTGTCTCAGGGAATAGACAGGCACAAGAAAAGAGGGAGACAGATGGGGGAATGGCAGGTTGGTGGAGCAGTCAGAACATGTAACATTTATTGATTTAATTTGGTGTCTTATATGGACATGGTTTGTGGAAACAATTAGAATAATAACATCAAAGATCACAGATCACCATAACATAATAATATTGAAAAAGTTAATATTGTAAGAATTATCGCAGCGTAACACAGACACAATATGAGCACGTATATTGGAAAAATGGCGCCAATAGACTTGTTTGACTCAGAGTTGACACAAACCTTCAACCTGTAAAAAAACAAAAACAAAAAACTTCCCACAGTATCTGCAAAGTGCAATAAAACAAGGTATACTTATAATCGATCCTATGCCTCTCACTCAGTCAATCAGTAAGTTATTACTATTGACTAGTCCCTGTATTAAATACTGGGGAGGTAGGCAAAAACAAAACCACCCTGCCCTTAAAAGAGTTTAAATACTAAGTATTCTCTTCAAACTAAAAATTAGTCAATCAACAAGCATTAAGTGTCTGCTCTATGCCAGGGACTGCTAGGTACTAAAGATACAAAGATAAAAAGTGAAACACTCAAGGAGCTTATATTCCATCCTTAGCTGCTTCATCTAATCTTCATAGCATTATTTGAAGAACTTCCATTTTTCTCTGATTTGCAGTGAAATAAACTTATATCATAGAGCTATATATGAAGATTTCTAAATTTTTCCATTAAGTTGTCAGCAAATCATTGTCAGACTCATTTCACAGATTTGTGAAGTAGCAATGATATTTGTAAATATGTCTATATTGAATGGTTAGTTACCTGCCGGAAGGGAAGAGGTTAAACTATAGGTCTTTTCTACTTCTGTGATTCCAGAAGAATGAATGTTATTTTAAATAAACAGAAATTGTACTATTTCTTTGCCAGCCAAGCTCAACTGTTTTTCTGATCTTGCATTGTTTTATTTTTACAAAGGCCTTATGTTTTTATGCAATACGATAATATTATTTGCTTATTTAAACCCTTTGTTGTGTACTTCATTTTTCAATTTCTTCTTTTCCCTATCTAGAAACCCCAAGTTTTTGGTTCCCCCTCTCCCAATATTGATTGCCTTTTGTATTCAGAAATGATTTTGCTGGCTTTTGGTTGATTCACAGGAACTATTTGAATGAAAAGAATTGTAAAATTGTTTAGTCTTTTTTTTCCACATTTGATAGTGATATAATAGAAAGAACACTTGCTCTGGAGTCTGAGGACCTAGGCTAATATCCTGCTCTGATAATTTACTACTTGTGTGACCTTGGACCTTAATTTCCTTGAGCCTCAGTTTCCTTGTCTGTAAAGTGAAGGGACTGGACTAAATGACCTCCTAGATCTCTTCTAGTTCTAGCTTTATGATACTATGACTAGCTTATTTGAGTAACTGCCTTCTTTTTCATCTCTTTCAGAAAAGTTACTTTTGAGAAACAGTGGTTTTTTTTGGATAACGTCATTGGACATAGTTATGGAACTACATTTGAAGTATCCAGTGGTGGGAATCTTCAGCCCAAGAAGATGATGGAAGAGATCACTTCAGGTATGTCTTGTTTTTCAGGTATGGGAAATAGTTACTTAAACTTACAAAAGTCAAAAAGATCTTACAAATCAGAAGTTTTTAAAGAATCTACTGTCTACATTTACCCTTTCTTTGCTTCTAAGATTCTATTTTAAGAAATTCCAGATTAGTTTGGGATTGTAGTTTAAGAACCTCAACAAAGTGTAGTGCCAATAATGCTGAATTGGGTGGCAGATTTAGGTTCTAGTCCCAGCCTTTTCACTAACTAGCTGTATAACCTTGAGTAAATAACCACACACACACACACACACACACACACACACACACACACACACACACCCCTCCCCCAAGTTGCATCTGTAAGACAAGACAGTTTGATCTGATGAACTCATGGAATGGATAGAGGACTGGACTTAGAGTCAAGAAGACCTCAAATGTCTTTAAGGTCCAATTCATCTTTTATTGTTACTGTTCTAATTTGGGTGAAGAAATAAGTGTATCTTTTATCAATGTTTTAAAAACTAGGTTTTTTTATGCATTATAATTTAATCTCATAAGCATTAAATTTTAGAGGCATTGTGTTGTAGAGCACAGAAATGGTGTCATAGTCAGGAAGTGCTGAGTTCAGATCTCATCTTTGACACATACAGGTAATGTGATCCTAGGCAAGTCACTTAACCTCTCAATGGTCCAGGCAACTCTCAGAGACTACAAGTTGCAGAGAAGGTGCTTATATGCGTAAGTGAGGAAATTCTTCACCTGTCCTGATGAAATCATAGGTCAAGTTTTTTAAAAGCAATCTTAAATGTGAAAAATTTGTCCTATGAATTAAAAGTTTATAATGTTACTTTAGGACAAGAATATAATGAATCAATCTCTTTCCTTTAGAAACTAAAGAAGCTGGTATTGATAATCGAAATATAGTTGATGATGGAAAGTCTCAGAAACTTACTCAAGATGACATAAAAGCTTTGAAGGACAAGGGCATTAAAGGAGAGGTAATATTGAGAGTTTGCCCAGATATACTTAGGGATTTGCTTGGTTGTTAGTGAATTAAGGCACACAACTTCAGGCGAAGTGTAAGCACTGTTATTGTTATTACCTCTTCTCTTAATAAACATGTAAAGAAATGCCTTCATTTAAAAGTATGAGAGAGAGCTTTTTTCTTCTGTGGGAAATTTAAATGTTTGTTTTATTATTATTGACCCCCACACTCCTTAGCATGGATCTATCCTTGGCCCTCTTTCCCTCTTCCTTCTATCATTTTTTCCCTTAGTAATCTAATCTTCTTCCATCTTTACATAAATGAAACCCTAATCTACATACCTGTCCCCTGAGTGCCAGTTACTTATTGTCAGCTGCCTACTGGACATTTCCACTTGTCTCTTCCATTGGCATCTCAGATTCAACATGGCTGAAAGAGAACTCATTCTCTTCCTTTCCAAACCCACCCGTTTTCCAAACTTTACCTTTTTTATGCAGGGCTTCTCTGTCCTTCCAGTCACCCAGGTTCATAAGCTCATGATCATCCTTGCCTTTTTCTTCTCCTTCACTCCTCTTTTGTACTCAGCTGCCAAGTCTTGTCTTTTCTACTTCTGCAGTATCCCTTGCATCCATTCCCTTTCACCCGTTTGCCTGGACTATTTTAATAGCTTCTAAGTTGTTCTCCTTGCTTCTACTTTATTCTTTCCAAGGCACAGGTCTGACCATGTTGCTCCTTTGCTCAAAAGCTGTCAGTAGTTCCCTGTTTCCTTTAGAATAAAATATAAACTTCTTTGCCTGTTGAATACTGTCCTTAACCTATTTCCAACATACATTTCCAGCCATATTTCCCATTATTCCTCCTCATGCACACTTATGTTTCAGCCAAACTGTTCCCTAAACTCAGTTTTCACATCTGTGTATTTGCGTAGACCATCCACCTTTCTTGGATTGTACTCGCCTTTCATCTCTGCTTCTTAAAAGATCAGTTCTGATGTTGCCTTCTCCCTCCCTTGCCATTTATTAATGTCCTCTCTCTCCTTAAATCATCTTCTATGTACTTATGTTTGTGTACATGTTGTAATTTCCCGAACTTCATGAGGCTTTTGTATGGTGTAATTTTTGTCTTTGTATTTTTGGCATCCAGCACAATGTTTTTTGTGCATTGTCGGTGCTTAATAAATGTTTGTTGAGTCAAATTGAATTAATACTTTGGTTTTTATGAAGTGAGAGGATCCAGAATTAGACCTTTGTAAATACTAAAACACTTTTTCCTTTGTCTAAAAATTTTTAACTATTTAGTGTGCAATATGGAATAACTTTTCCTTTTCTTATAGGAAATTGTTCAGCAGTTAATTGAAAATAGTACAACATTCCGAGATAAGACAGAATTCGCCCAGGATAAATATATAAAGAAGAAGAAGAAAAAGTAAGAATTATATTAGAAAGTTGCAAATAGAAATAAGATGGGTTCAAAACATTTGTTCTCTATAAAAGGAGTTTTTTGTGTGTTTTATCTTTAGATATGAAGCAATCATTACTGTTGTGAAGCCATCTACCCGTATTCTTTCAATTATGTATTATGCAAGAGAACCTGGAAAAATTAAGTAAGCTCTGTTTCCTTTAAAAGTAGAAGACCTGGGTAGTGGGATATAGTAGTTTATTATAATAAAGTCATGATTTTGAATAAACTTGGGAACTTGCTCATGTTGTGCAGAGTATTTTACCACTTCATGAGTTCTGAGCTCTTTTATCACTTTAAAAATAATTAGTGACCCATCACCTTGATGTTATATAATAAATAGTACAAAGCAAAGTATTTTTTGAAATGTGAGTAACAGTGATGGAATCATTCTTTTCTCTTTAGCTACATGCGATACGATACACTGGCCCAGATGTTGACCTTGGGGAATATCCATGCTGGCAATAAAATGATTGTAATGGAAACTTGTGCAGGCTTGGTGCTGGGTGCTGTAATGGAGCGGATGGGGGGTAAGAAAGTTCCAGATTTCAAGCAGTTCACACTTGAATTTAAGAGTAAACATGCCGAATTGTTTTGGCAGCAGGTCTGAATACTGTATGCTGCCTTAATTTCAATGTTGGAAATGTTTGTGGATTCCTAATTGGAATCAGAAAGTTAGCTACTATGTCCTCTTCCTCCCTGAGGCAGGGTGACTTAAGGTGATACCAAATTTAATTCTAGCCTGTTTGAAGCTCTCAATGAAAACAGACTCCTAAAAACTGCTTAGGAGGAACCATGGAGTGAGCACCTTTTCTATGCCGAGGCCAAGTAAGCTTATCGTGTTTCCAAGTTGAGATCATTTAATAAAATTTCTTTGTTTCAAATGAGTGGTGGGGGGAAACTTGGCAAATACTTTTTCCTGGGTTTTTTTATACTGGAACTCTCAATGGATTACCATACCTTCATATATTAAAGATGTGGTTTCTTTATTTTCAGGTTTTGGATCAATCATTCAGATGTACCCAGGAGGTGGTCCTGTTCGAGCAGCAACAACTTGTTTTGGATTTCCAAAATCTTTCTTTAATAGTCTTTATGAGTTTCCCCTTGGCAAAGTGAACTGTCTTCTAAATGGAACATTTTCTTCCAAAGCTTTGCCTTCGGAGTCCAAAGACAGTATTTCAGTAGAAGAAAACAATGGCACTCTTCTTGATGACCTACAGACTTCTCCAAAGGAGATAGAAGAAAATATTGTTGAAGTTATAGAAAATAACCATCCTCAACAAGAAACAATGGAAGTTATTTCCCAAGAGCCAGAATATAAGGAGCACAAAGAAAGAGGAAATAAAAAAGACTATGTAAGGGTCCCTCACCTTCTCATGATGTTATTTCTCCTCGATTCTCCTATTCCTTCATTGAAATTGTAAATGTCACAATTATTGGAGAAAACATTTTTTAATGTTTAAGGGAATTCTGTGATGTAATGGGGAAAAAACACACACACACTGGATTTGGAATCAAGGGACCTAGATTTGAATCTTCCATTCTGCTTTCTACCTGTGAGACCTTGGGCAGCTCACTTCAGTTCACTGGCCCTCACTTTCCATATTCTTAGAGAGTTAGTAGAACTTAGTATCCTTAGAGAGTCTAGTAGAAAAAGCAATGGGCTTGAAGTCAAGAGAGACCTGGGTTCACATCTGACACTGAGTAACCATGTGGTAATGGGCAAGTCACCTCATTAAGTCTGTTTTCTCATCTGTAAAATGAAGATAATAACCTACATCACAGGGTTGTTGTGAGGGTCAAATGAGATAATGTATGTAAATGTATTTCAAACTATAAAGAGCTAAACAAATGTCAAAGTTTCTAATTAAAATGAAGGGGTCTGAATTAATGTTTCTAGCTTTAGGTGTATGTTCCATGACCTCTTAAGTAGTTTAGCACAGTGCCTGGCACATAGTAGGTGCTTAATAAATGTTTGTTGACATAACTGTACGGGTTATTAGGATATCTCCTGTGCTATACCTTGGTATTTTTATAACTGCTTCCTAAATTACATCTTCTTACTATTGTGGTCTGCCTGAAGTGGTAGAGAAAGTTAAAATGACGCTGGAGTAGATTGGAGATCCAGTAAAGTGTCTGGGTCAGCACAGTTGATTGAGTTTTTTTTAAAAAATTTTATTTTTCAAGATTCAAGAATTCCAAAGAAAACAAGAACAACAGAAGAAAAGACAAATAGAAGCTGCTACTCTGTTGAATGAAAGAAATGCGGATGGGTGAGTGTGGGTAATATCACTTGCTGAATGCACATCGCTTATTTACGTTAGTCACTAAACTATTCAAGTTCCAGAAAAACAGATGGCTTCTTATATATTTTTGTTTCTTAAAAAATGTCATTCTAGTCATCCTGCCACTTGCTCATCACCATTATTGCTAATTTATTGCTTTGAATTAGTTACTTTGGCCACAAGAAAATTTAAACTGCTCTCGATTAATTACTTAGCAGTCTGGGTCTACTTTGTCTACTTTTTCTTTCTTTTGACTGTTCCACTTGGGTCCTAGTGGTTGCGTAGAAAGAGTGATGGTGTGGAAAGAGCACCTTGGTTCAAATCCTAGCTCTACCTCTTACTGTGTGTGAGACCTTGGGCAAGTCACTTAAGGTCTTTAGGCCTCAGTAATACGCTTCAGTAAAATGAAGAGTGTGGTTTAGATGCCCTCTGAGGTCCCTTTCAGTTTTAGGTCTATGATCCTGTGACACAGTGGGAGTAAAGATTAGTATCCTTATGCACCTGAAGGATATTAGATTGAACTTAAAAGAAATCAGTCTAGGTACAAGTACAGATTTTAAAAGGCATTATAAGGCTCTTGACATATTACTATAGATAGAGCCTGGGCTAGGGACTGAACTTGTGATTTCAGTGGCATAGGGAGCTGCTGGAGTGGAACTTTCACTACCAAAAGAGACAGTAACTTTCTCTGCAATTTATAGGATTTGAAAGTAAGTCACTTGTCCAGGGACACACAGCTCTTCTGGAGCAGAGTCAGTCTTTGAACTCAGGTGTTCTGGTTCTAAGGCCAGCACTACCCACTACAGCATACTGCCTCTCACCATATTAACACAGTAGATAAATGAAGCTTATTCTCACTGGGTACATCAGTGCTCTAACCTTGGGTGTTAGAGAAAAGGCTAGTAAAAATTTCATAGACTCCTAGATATTTTGGGGAAGAGGTAGATTTGGTCATCTGCAAGGCGATTTTAAATGGTGATGAATTAGTTTCCAAATGATTTTGAGAAGACCTTTAAAGCTGGTCTTCATCTTTAAATAGTGCTTAGAGTTGCCAAATACCAACAGTGGGTAGTAAGCCTTAACATTGAGAAAGTAGCAGCCCTTGAGGGCAGCTAGGTGGCACAGTACTCAGAATCAGGAAGACTCATCTTCCTGAGTTCAGATCCAGCCTCAAACACTTACTAGCCGTGTGACCCTGGGCGAGTCACTTAACCCTGTTTGCCTCAGTTTCCTCATCTGTAAAATGATCTGGAGAAGGAAATGGCAAACCACTCCGGTATCTTTGCCCCGAATGGGGTCACAGAGAGCTGGACACGACTGAAACGACCGCACAACAATAAAAAGCAGCCTCTGTTGGCTTGAGTTTCCAGAAAGCTACTTAAATGATTTCTTTTGTGTTTGTGTAATTGAATGTATCTAATAGTTTTTAAAGTCTTATCAAAATAGCATATTCTCCTTGAAAGCAAAAATAATTTGTCTGATTTTTTTTTTCCCCTTTTTCAGTTTAATTATAGCCAGTCGATATCACCCAACACCACTGGCTCTTTCTTTGCTGGAATTTGTTGCTCCTTCAAGGCCTTTTGTTGTCTACTGTCATTATAAAGAGGTAATGCTGTACTGGGTTGATGTGTGGCTGAGTAAATAATAGAATGCTGAAGATTTGGGATGATGAAAAAGCCTGCTAAATTCTGTTCTTGAATTTCTGTCCAGAAAATATTATTTAAGCTCTATCTTTTCTTTATCCTTCAGCCACTGGTAGAGTGCTATACAAAATTAAGAGAAAGAGGAGGAGTTATTAATCTCAGGCTGTCAGAAACCTGGCTCAGAAATTACCAGGTATGTATTTAAATAAATTGCACTGCAAAATAAGAAAACATATATTGTCCTAAATACATAAGTCTTTTCACTTCTGTCTCCACAACTCTTATATCTGACTTCTTTACTCATATGTATACCCCCCCTAGTTTGGGCTGTTATCACCTCTTTCTTGGACTATTACAGAAGCCTTCTCATCATTCACCCTGCCTCAAGACTCTCCCCACTCCAGTCCAGCCTACCCCTTGCTGCCAAAGGGATTTTTTTAAGTGTAGGTCAAATTATGTCACTTCCCTACCTAATAAATTCTAGTAACTCCGTCTTGCCTTTAGTATCAAATATAAGCTCTTTTGTTTGGCTTTTAAAGCCTTTCACAATGACCCTTACCAGCCTTATGATAGAAGGCTTCCCTTTCTGCATTCTACAGTCCAGCCAAACTGCCTTGCTGTTCCTTACATACATTATACTCCATCTCCTACGTACACATTTTTGTCTTGGCTATCCCCTATTCTTGGTGCCTTTTCCTTCCTCACCGTCACCTCTAAGAATCCCTTGCTTCCTTCAAAACCCTGTTCAAGTATCACTTATGTGAAAACTGTCTTCATCATACTAGCTGTTAGTGCTCTCTTGCCCTAAATTTACCCTGTAATAATATGTACATAATTTTGTATAAAATTTACTTATGTACATGTTTCTCTGCATAAAACGTATAGTTCTTGACAGCAGAAACTGTTTCCTTTTTGTCTTTGTATCCTCAGAACCTATTAGGGTTTCAGACGCACATCAGGTGTTTAATGAATGCTTGTTGATCAAGTATTGTTGAATGTGCAGTAATTCAAATTTCTGAATTAAATTCTGCATAGTTTAGGAAATTGGCGGTCATTAACTAAGGGGCATTTTAAAATATGAAAAATTTGTTTTTATGAAACTTACTGGGAACTTTGTGTCTGTAGACCCAAAATTGCTTGAACTTCTAAAAATAATTACAATTAACTGTTTTTGTTTGTGTTAGTAGACACAACCTATACTCAGACATTAGTGAGAATTGAGACTTCTGTCTCTTGTTTTTATTAGAGGAAACCTTGCACATAGTAGACCCTTAATTCTATCTCACAGCGTCTCTCACATCCATCCTTTTCATTCCCAGTTATGTGACCACCATCTAACTTCAGTCTTTCATCACCTTACAGTGTCACCTAGGCTATTGCAGTAGCCCCCTCATTGAGTTCCCTATTTCTGGTCATATCTCTCTCCCTTTGCCCTTACAATCCATTTTCCACACGACTGCCAAAATAATCTTTTGAAAACATGGATCAACTTGTAGCACTTGCCTCCCCAAACACCTCTTGGGACTCTTTATTGCCATTAAGTTAAAATACAACTCATCAGTTTGGCATTCAAAACACTTCTCAGTCTGGCTCCAGACTCCATGTCCAGACTTACTTCACATTGCTCCCTACTTGTACTCTGGTCCAGTCACACTGGTATGTGGATTGTTCTCTGAATTCACCCTTCTACCTCCCATCTCTGTCCTTCTTTCCAAGTTGTACTCCTTCCCTTGCCGTCCCTCCTTAGGTTAAAAGGCTTCCTCAAATCAACTCAGGGACCACCTCCTATGAAAAATCTTTTCTTCTCTCTCCCTAGTTGGTATAGTGCTGTAGCTGCCTTACATGATAAATCTTGCATCTTTAAAAAAAAACAAAACAAACTTTTAACATGCAGCATGTCCTTTTGTTGTAGTCACTTGTTTTACATGATTTAGCATTGAGGTCATGAGATTTTTGACTCATACTCTTTAATTCTTCATAATGAAACCATTTTTTCAGTCATTTTACCTATTGTGTACCTTTGACTAACAGCCCATTTTTCAATGTCCAGCCTTGATTGTAGTTTATAGGTTCTCAGTGTGGTTTAAATCAGACAAGTCCCTAGGCAACAGAAGCATGTTTATCTCTACCTCTGATAAATTTCTTGACTTTTTGTGGTGTATGGAATAATATAAAAAAATGGAGCAGTATTCTATCTGTAATTAGGAATTTCTATAATTCTAGAATAATAATTACTTCTCATTATATCAGTATATTGTTAGAGTTCATCATTCCCTCAAAAAAGATGAATTTCTAGGCTCACTGAGAATTAAAAAAAAAATCCCTAAAACACTCTTTGGGGTAGATATCTAATGATTATAGTTAGATTGTATACATTTACCTAGCCGCTTTTGAGAGTGCTTTAGTATAGCTTCAAATAAAAAACGTAGCATAAGTAAAGGGGATCTTTTCTCAGTCTTTAATACTCTAGTCTTTTTATTGTTTTGTCCGTTACAATAATTTTTTCTTCATAACAAAGGTTAGCAGAGAGAGAGTCTTAGCACTGTTTTTCCAAACTTGAGAAGCCTTTGCAATACTGTAGAGGGATTAGGTCCTTATGAAAGTCTTTACTTGTTTTTCTGAGGATTAATCAGGCTGTTGTGTAGCAATAGTTTGTCAGTTCTTGATTTTTTTCATTTTTGACCCTCGTTTCCTTTGCTCTTTGGTGTGATTGATTTTATTTCATCGTAGGTTTGAATAATCTTTGAAACTTTTTACTCACCATGTCAAGTCACTGTGACATATCTTACAGTCATTGATGTATGCTCTTTTAAGAGCAACAACTTTTATATATTTCCTTGTAGTATTCTATTTTCTTAAACATAATATATTTAAAAACACAACAAAAAAGAGCATGTAGTATGGACTCATCCAATAGGGAACTGACTAAAGGTGGAAAAATTAGCTCAGTCTGGTTTTATCTATGGTCAGGGTCAGATGTTTTTAGCCTAATATCCATAGAGCATGAAAGCTTGACCATTACTGTCACAAAATGAAACCATATTCAAATTATCTCACGTTCAGGTAATTTACATATCACCTATAGTGCTGTCTACTTTCACAGATTTTCTTGTACTTACTTATTTAGGCAGATGCTCTTTCCCCAGTAAAATGTAAGCTTCTCATGGGGAAAATACTGTTTCATTTTGTTCATATCCCCAACATCTTGCATAGTTCATAGTAGGCACTTAATTTTTAAAAAAAAAATTTTTTTTAAGGCTATTGGGGTTAAGTGACTTGCCTAGGGTCACACAGCTAGTAAGTGTTGACTGTTTGGACTGAGGCCAGATTTGAACTCAGGTTCTCCTGACTTCAGGCCGGTGCTCTATCCACTGCGCCACCTAGCTGCCCCTATAGTAGGTACTTAATGAGAATGTGAGAAGCTTGTTGAGTTGAACTCAAACAATGTTAATAATAATTCATTCACAAAGCATTTTAAAGTTTACAGAACACCTTTAGTTTTGAGTTTGCTTTATAGTAAAATGTGTGGAGGGCATTTTGGTGGCGCAGTGGATAGAGTGCTGGGCCTAGAGTCAGGAAGACTTATATTCATGAGTTCAAATTTGGCCTCAGACATTTTCTAGCTATATGACCCTGGGCAAGTCACTTAACCTTGTTTGCCTCAGTTCCTCATTTATAAAATGAACTGGGATGGCAAACCATTTCATTGTCTTTGCCAAGAAAACCCCAAATGTTGTCGCAAAGAGTTCCCCAGACACAACTGAACAACAAAGTACATTTGGAGACTTTTAAAGCGTCTACTTCTCTCTCTCTCTCTCTCTCTCATTTTTTTGGCAATTGGGGTTAAGTGACTTACTCAGGGTCACACAGCTAGTAAGTGTCAAGTGTTTGGTCTGAGGTTGAATTTGAATTCAGGTCCTCCTGACTTCAGGGCCAGTGCTCTATCCACTGTGCCACCTAGCTACCCCTCTACGTCTCTTTAGAGTCATCAAATTTTAGAGCCAGAGAGAACCTTCAAGATATAAGCCAGATGATTTTTTTTTGTGTCATGGACTCCTTTGGCAGTCTGGTAAAGTTTATGGACCCCTTCTCAGAATAATGTTTTTAGAAAGTATGTAGGATTACAAAGAAAACCAATTAGATTGAAACACAGTTATCAATATTAAAAAAACAAAAACATTCATATTCCCCTTGAAAGTTATCCACATACCCCGTTCTCTAGAATTAGAACCCCTGATATAGTCAAATCCCCTTATTACAAATAGTCCTCTTATCTTTTTTAAAAAAAGTTTTGATACTTTTTATATTAGTCACATCCCAACATGCCCTACCCTCCACCACCAACGCCATTCCCTTATAATAGAAAAACAATTAAGCAGAACTGTTGGACATAGTGACTGTTTGCGAGTGTATTCAACATTATTATCCACTTTTAGTACATCCGTTCTGTCCTGAAAAGAACGAAGTATTTTTCATCCTGGCTCTGCTGGAGCCGAGGTTGCTTGAGCCTCACCTCGGTGACTTAAGGGTCGTGGAGCCAGAATGAGCCTCGAAAATCCGTAGGTTATAGGACATCATAAAAAAAAAGCATTTTCCCCTTTTATTGCAAAAAAAGTGGTCTTCATATTTAAATAACTCAGGACTGCAATTTTATTAATAATTTTCAAAAGAAGTTTAAACTTGGTTTTCTGTGCTTTTCTGTCTTGTGTCCATTTCTGTCTGTATCTTTGGTGTCCCTCATTGAGTGACCTGGACTCTAGAAGTCAGGAGGCCTTGATTATAATTTCATTGCTGATGCTAGCAAGCATTGTGATCTTAAATTATTTAACCCTTCCTGGGCATGGTTTCCATCTACTTGCCTTACAGGGCAATTTTGAGGAAAGTGCTTTGCAAATCTTAAACTACTGTGTAATTGTGAGTTTTTTATTTCTTCATCTGTAGAAGAAACTGGAAATGATTGGATTAGATCATTAAGATTTTTAAATAACTTTATTCCAAAGGGCATTATGAAAATTAATTTAACATAAGTTTTAAATGTTACATTTGAATCTTAAATTTGCCTTGTGTTGTGTCAACTTAGAAAACCTAACATTTCTTTTTCGGTTAGGTTCTGCCAGATCGAAGTCATCCCAAATTGATGATGAGTGGAGGTGGAGGTTATCTTCTCTCAGGCATCACTGTTGCCAATGATAAACAAAAATCAGAATCCTGTGTATTAGAGTTACAAAAGACTGAAGAGCCAACAGCTAAAAAACGAAAAGTTCAGGAGTCTGACTCAACCCTTGAAGATCTACCTTGATTTTACTTCCAAGGATTCTTTGAATTAGCAATTCACATTCTTAACATGCCATTACCAATTGCTCCTTGGTACCGTAAGAGCATGTTTACACAGCCATTCTTGGAAACCTGGTTGTGTTAATGTATTTTAAAGAAGCTTTTCCCGGTTAACACCTGGCTGCTGGGAAGGAAAAAAACTCTCCAACCCACTTTATGGACAAAGGTGTCAGATCCACTCTGGCATGGAGGTGCTGGGAAAACCAAAGCCTTTTGGCATGAAATGGAATTAAGTTTGACTTAACTAAGATCACTTCTGTGTCTTAAAATAGTGTGTCAATTAGTGTCTTAAAAATTCAGATAAAAAAAGAAAAAGAATCCCAACACATTTTGTATATAGGACTAAACTTGGTTTTAACCAATTGAAAATTCTTTAGTCATATGCACATACATGTGTATTTGAAAGGATTTATGGAAGAAAAGTTTAAGCAGTATGGGAGGTTTTATATAGTTTGCATACCAAATATTTACTATATCTCTCCAGTGGTATTATCTACATTTTAAAATTGTATTGGTTTTTATTATTTTTAATATGTGACAACTTGAAGTTGTAAATTTTTGTTTTATTGCTATCTATCATGGTATATGGAAGGGTCGTAATAGGGTTACTTAGTTTTTGTTAATTTTCAAAAGACTTTCATTCTTCATTTCCAATAAGACTATTCTATTTTTTCTCTCAATTAAGGGGATTTTTTTGCATATGGTTTTGTTTTGTTTTTTTTTCATGAGGGATCTCTTTCTTATAAAGGGGCAAATGGGCCATCAGTGCTTGAGGTATGACAATAAAATAATGAGACTTTTTCACATGATTTATAAAACTAGTCGCATCTAGTTTCTCACCTCAACCCAATACATTTTAAAGAGTCTTCTGTTTCAAGACTATAAATTAATGTAGTCAGTGATAGTCGTGATGCCAGTTTGCTGAGCCTTAGCATAATTAAATAGTTATATTTTTAAAATTTTTAATAAATTGGCCTTGATTTCATTATTCATTTGCAACTGAAGAAAGGTTTTCAGATTATGCCCAAGACAGATGATTTGTCTTCAGAGTTTTTGAATGTTTGTTGAGATAGTGTGGTTATTAATATTTATTTAAATATTAATAATTTATTATTAATGTTATCTTACTGTGAAATTCTCATGGGAAAAAGAGTTAGAGGATATTCATGATCAGCCTTATGTTATTTAAACTGCTAGATCTGTACTTTGTATTCTGATAATGGCAAATGATAATTATTAACAAATACACATCTTGGTATTTTTTATCTTTGCCAGCCATGCATTTCATACTGAAACTTAGCTCACAGTAAATCTGTGTTTTTCTAATGCCACTATCTGAGTACATTGTGAAACATGGGCTGTAATGAACAGAAAAGACATTTGCTTGGTTACAGATTCCAATCCTACAAGTATTTATTAATTGTCTGCTCTGTGCAAGGTCCTGTGTGACGTAATAAGGGTACAAAGACAAAACAAAACACAGTTCCTGACCTCAAAGAACTTAATTCTATTGGAATGTATTGTTATTGTTAACTTGCAGACATGGTTCATAAATCTAATGGGTGAAATTATAGTAACCTAGTACACAATAATACACAATGACTGTCTTTTTAAAATTATTTATTTACTTATTTTGTAGTCATTTATTATCTCTCCCTCCCACTGCTCTCCCTACTTCCACAATTGAACAATTAAAAAAGCACGAACAATAAAACATTCATAACAAATGTGTCTAGTCCAGCAAAATAATTCCACATGGATCATGGGCAAAAGTTTATGTCTCATTTTTTCATTTTAAGTCTGTCACTTTTCTGGCAAGAGGTGGGTGGCCTGTTTCATCTTTAGTGCTCTGGACTAATGGTTTATCATTGCATTGGTCATAGTTCTAAAGTCTTTCAAAAATTTTTTTCCTTCTCTATGATGTTGTCTTTGTATAAATTCTCCTGGTTCTGCTCACTTCACTTTGCTTCAGTTTATAAAGGTCTTCCCAGGTTCCTTTGAAACTCCCCATTTCAGCATTTGTTATGGTACAATATTTTGCATTCATATACCATGATTTATCTAACTATTCCCTAATAGAAGGGTACCCTCTTGGTTTCCAGTTTGGGGCTACTACAAAAAGAGATGCTATAAATATTTTTGTTCATACAGATCCTTATCCTGTTTTATCTCTTTGGAGTATGGGCATAGTAATGGCATAGCTAGGTCCAAGTATACACAGTTTGCTAACTTTAAGGCTTAGTTTCAAATTGCTTTCTAGAATGGCTGGACCAGTGTACTGCTCTATGAACAATGCACTCTTCTCTTTTTTTCCAAAGCCCCTCCAACATTTGATTTTTAAAATTTTTCTTTTTTTTTTTTTTTGTGATCTTTGTCAGTCTGATGGGTATGAGGTGGAACCTCAGAGTTGCTTTAATTTGCATTTCTCAAGTTATAGTGATTTGGAACATTTTTTTTTTCATATGGTTGTTGATAGCTTGGATTTCTTACTTTGAAAACTGCATATTGATATCCTTTCATCTGTTGGAAATGACTCTTCAAAATGATTACATTTTTTTAAAAATAGCAGCTGGTCTCAATTTAAGCCTTTGTTATTTACTCCTTATCTAGAACTACTTCCAGCCTGGAATTCATTTATTATCCAATATTACCAGTATTTCTGGGGAGCAAGGTACAGGTAAGTGCTAGTGATTTGAATGTTGAATTTTCAACCAAAGCCCCATAGAGCTAACTGGGAAATATAAAGGAGGAACTGAAATGACTAGTATCAGCAGCAGTTGAAAAATAATCACTATTTTTCTTGTGCATATGATTTGTGCCATCCTTTTGTGTGAATGATGACGTTAACCATAGGAAAACTGCAGAAATGTAGAAATGTGTACAGTCTAGGCTAGTCATTTTTGTTGTCGTTCAGTTGTTCCAGTCAGATCCTACTCTTTATGACCCCATTGGGGGGGTGTTCCTGGCAAAGATACTAGAGTGATTTGCCATTTCCTTCTCCAGCTCATTTTATAGATGAGAAACCAAGGCAAACAGGGTTAAATGACTTGCCCAGGGTCACACAGCTAAGTGTCAAGTATCTGAGGCCAGATTTGAACTCAGGTCCTCCTGACTACAGGGCAGGTGCTCTATCCACTGCGCAACCTAGCTGCACCATAAATAATGGAAATTTTTTAACCTAGCAGTTGCCTATAGGATGAGTGGGTTAGGTGACCTCTGGACCTCTATCTATCCCTAAGTTTACAAAAACTAGTATTTTGACATTTATGAAATGGTAAGATGTACAACAGTTTGCAAACTTGTTGGATATGCTTTCTCTGTGATTTTGTTCACTTTGAAGTATGATTTTGGTATTCTATAAGCCTAATATCCTTTCTTTATCTTGAAAGTATTGTCCTAACCCACTTGGGTCACAGATACTGAAATGAGTATCTGTTGATCAGTCTTTCAATTATTTGGATTGACTGTAGTTGGAAAGCCAGTTCAATTTAATAAATATTTATTATTCCGCACCCATTATGTACAGAGTACTGCATTAGGGGGAGTTACAAGGATCTAACTTCAATAGTAGTACTTAGGAGAGGGATACTTTCCACCTAAGAAAATCTGTCAAGTTGGTTTTTCTTCTTCTTTTTTAAATATTGAGAAAATCAGGACCATAGTTATGATCCTAAGTCTCCCCATAGTTTGGGGCAGCCAGGTGGTACAGAGGCTGGAGAACTAGACCTGGAGTCAGGAAGTTCATACATGACCACAGCTGTGTGACTCTGGACAAGTTACTTAACTTCTGTTTGCTTCAGTTTCCTCATCTGTAAATGGGGATAATAATAGCACCTACCTCCCAAGGTTGTGAGAAATAAATAAGATAACAATGCTTAGCACAATACCCGACACATAGTAAGCACTAAACAAATGTTAGCTATTACTCTTATCAATAGTCAGAAATATTTTTTTTGTTTTCCTATTATCTGAATGTCTTATTATGTAGTTGTATAGAGTTAAGAGCATTGACTTGGGAATTTGCAGACCTGGAAATTTGTAGACTTAATTAGTTTTAAGCAGTATGCTTTTGGGGAAGTGACTTAATCCTTCTAAGCCTCAGTTTTCTCATCTAAAAAATTATAATAATATTTCCCGTACCTAACTGACTTAATAGATTTTTGACCTTGGGCCATTAAATTAATCTCGGAATAGCCTATTTCCTCATCTCTACATTAAGTTTGATGCATGCACAGTCTATCCTTAGAGAATTATTATAAGAATAAAATGGGGGTATATAAAGTAGTTTATAAATAATAAAGCATCATCTCTTAGAATATAAATTGACTGCATTGACAGTGTGGAAAAATGTAGTATTAAGTGAACTCTTTTTTTTCACAAGATATTAGTGGGATTTTTTTGTTTTTTGTTTTTTGTTTTGTAAGAAGTCTATTTTCCTTGGAATTGAATGTAGAATATGTTGTCTGGCAAGTCTTAATCAAATCTGAACCTGCCATTTCAAGTATCAATATTCCTTTAGTACATGTAGTGGCCACTTTGCTAATAATCACTTTGGTATTTTTACTTGGAGAACAGTGAGTTCTGAAACTTAGCAGATAAATGTCATGCAGCCTTCTCTCCTTAGAAATATGCCAGAGAACTAGGGCTCAGCACCTGATACTTTCCAGGAAGACTTTAAAATGAAGATAGAGAGTTTTGGAAGATTTTCTTTTTGGCATGTTCATTTTTAAAATAAGCTAGTGTATGCACAGGAAGAAAAAGATTGCCATGAATAGAATCTGTTGAAGAGGTGGTTGGTTTGTGTTCATTGTGTATCATTCTAGAGCAAAAGGATAGAAAGTTGGGAATGAATCCAGGGATCTGGGAATTCTAGAAGTCATATTCTCACTCCCACCATTACCCTTGAGGCTACTGGATAACCACACACACACACACACACACACACACACACACACACACACACAAATAAAGTGGGAAAAGAGGCAGAGGAGGATTTAATAATTCTGTTCCATCACTGACAATGAAAGGAACTAAAATATAAACATTACCTTTTGTTGTTTGGTCAGTTCAGTTGTGTCTGACTCTTTATGACCCCGTTTGAGGATTTCTTGGCAAAGATACTGGAGTGGCTTGCCATTTCCTTCTCCAGCTCATTTTACAGATGAGGAAACTGAGGCAAATAGGGTTAAGTGACTTGTCCAGAGTCACACAGCTAATGTCTGAGGCTAGATTTGAACTCAGAAAGATGAGTCTTCCTAGTTCCAGGCCCAGCACACTGTCCATTGTGCCATCTAACTCCCTGAGTGTTAGGATGGTATAACACAGGACTGTGTTAATGAACAGATTCACAGATTAATTGACACTAGAAGCAAGATGTCAAAGGAAGTTGGCATTCAAGATGATAGGAAATGATTGAGCAGAAATTGATTATAATAGGAAGACACAACAAAGACAATTGAATGAACAGCCAAAATGATAACTTTCTTGAGTGACTCAGCATGGACTACAGTGTCCTCAAAGGTTTAGTGCAGTTTTAAGCTTTTTTTTTTTTTTTTTAGGCTATTGGGGTTAAGTGACTTACCCAGGGTCACACAGCTAGTAAGTGTCAAGTGTTTGGTCTGAGGCCGGATTTGAACTCAGGTCCTCCTGACTTCAGGGCCGGTGCTCTATCCACTGCGCCACCTAGCTGCCCCCAGTTTTAACCTATTAAAGCTCAAAACTGCACTAAGCATTTTGGGACACCCTGTAATTGGGAGATCCTGTATTTGCAAAGAGAAATGCTAAAAAAAAATTGATCTTAATATTCCTCCTGTCCTAGTGGAGGGCAATTAGTTTTGGAGTATTACTCCATCACATAAATTGGGCTTTTGCTTAGGAATGCTTTGCAGGCTTTTTAATCTTTGGACACAAACTCCACCCTCCCCTCCACTTAGAGAAAATTAAATGCCCAAAGTCAACTACTGAAGAATGGCATTAGACACAGATTAGTTTCGAGATATACCCTCCTCTTCATGCAATCACAAGAGGTGGAGTGCCTTGCTATTTATCACTCCCATAGCTAGCTTGCAGTATACCAGGAGTCCTGGCTTCTGCATGTCCATTAAGTCAGTGTCTCTAGCAATTCCAATGTGGTACTTAGCTAAGATAAGTAGCTACCCCTTGAATGCTAAGTGAAACAGTTTTACTCCACTCCAATAATTAGTTGTGGGAACAAGGCCAAGTTAACCTGAGCCTTGGTTGCCTTATGTATAAAATCGGAGGGAGAAGTTATAAAACTTCTATCTACTTCATAGTAGTTGTGGAGAAAGCATCTTGTGAAGCTTAGAGCATGAATAAGTGTGTTTTGTTACTTGGATGAAAGGACCGGAATGAAGGGAAAAGGAAGAAGAGATAGAGGGGAAAGGCAGAAGTTGCTCAGAATTACTTGGTGAAACTGAGAAGTGTGAGAAGCTAAAGGAAGGAGGAAAAAACAAAAAGGAAAAAGTGTAAGAAAAAATAATTTTAGCTGTAGAAACTTAGGGGGATGGAACAAAAAAAATCATCCTTCAATGGATATACTTATTGCCAGTTTTCTGGGAGTCACTGCAGATTGAGCATGAAAATAGGTGGTGTAATTCAATCACTGAATCTTCATTTTAACCAGTAAATGTCTATGGCAGGGGTGGGAAATCTGCTGCCTCAAGGCCACATGTGGCCCTCTAGGTCCTTGGGTGCGGCCTTTTGACTGAGTCCAAGTTGTACAGAACAAATATTTTTATTAAAGGGATTTGTTCTATGAAGTTTGGATTCAGTCAAAAGGCCGCATCCAAGGAGGACTCAAGGACCTAGAGGGCCAAGTGTGGCCTCCAGGCCACAGGTTCCCCTCCCCTGGTCTATGGAGTCCTGATACTTGGTACTTGGTACATAAAATAGTAGGTGGTGTCTTGAGCTATTTCACATGGATCCTGATGTGACAGTTAAATACTACCTAATACCTACCAAGCAAGATTATTTTCTGAACTTTTGTTGTTTAGTCATTTCAGTCATGTCCAACTCTTTATAATCCCAATTTGGGGTTTTCTTGGCTAAGACACTGGAGTGGTTTGCTATTTTCTTCTTCAGCTCATTTTACAGATGAAGAAACTGAGGCAAACAGGGTTAAGTGACTTGTCCAGGATCACACAGCTTGCAAGTGTCTGGAGGCAGATTTGAACTCAGGCAGATGAGTCTTCCTGACTCCAGGCCAACATTCTATCCACTGTGCCATCTAGAGGTCCCTTTCTGAACTTCAAAAGTTCAAAATAATTTTTTGGAAGTTGCATTCTAGTAATTAGTATCTTTGTTCATCTGATAACCATGTCCTGGGCTCTTACTTGAATTTTTGTGTTTGTTTATTGAGACTAGATCTCTCTATCTTACCTGGGTTGGAAGTGCTGTGACCTTTCACGTGCCCAATCCCAGTGCTAATTGGCATAGCATTAACTTGCTCCATTTTTTGGTCCTGGGTGGGTTTGCTTCTCCTTAGACACCTTGGTGTCCTGCTCTATTTCTTAGGGAGGGATCACATTGGCATTACATTAGCACTGAACTAAGTGAAGCCACTCAATGGTTTTTAGCCTTGCTTAAGGCCAGAAATACTGAACTCAAGCAATCCACTAGGCCCAGTCTTTCCTAGCGGCAGGGATCCCAGGCATGGGCCACCATTTGAATTTTAAAGGAAACCGATTCATTATCAAAATCATAAACAATATGACAGCAGCTAAGAAAATTAAATGGAATGGCTGTGACCTATAGATACTAATTCAATGTATTTGAAAAACGTAGTAGATTAAAAAAAATTAATTCCTCCTTGGGAAAAACAGGACATCCCCAAAAGCAACAGCTGGAAATATGTAACAGCAGCCCAGTTATTGTGACAAAACTCTGATTAGACAGATTGAATTCTCAGCTATGGCTGGGCATCTTTGATATCATTCATGAATGCCTGGGCTCTCTATATCACACATGAAAAGACCACAGTACAAATAGCACTTGAGAGACAATAGGAGTCAGAAGGAATCTCTCATGGTTCTATCTCATGCATTGTTGATAGGCTGGAGGGAAACTGGGCCGTGCTGTGCTGCTTTTTGCCAGTTGTCTCTCCATGTGGAGCATCTGCTGTGTGTCATTTTCTGGTCTATAATTTTGGTGCACTGCAGTGCTTTGCATCCTCTCCACTCGTATTCTCTCTCTCCCCCCCTTTCCCTCTTTCCCTCTCTCCTCTCTCCTCTCCCTGTCTCTCCTCCTCTCCCATTGCTCTCTCTCCCACTTCCCTCTCCTTCTCTATTTCTTATCCTTCTCCCTCCTCCTATTAACCCTTGGGCTTCCAGTTTAGTTTTTTCCTTTATTAGGCATTTGGGTAACCATTGTTTTGGCTTTTGGATGCCTGGCAAAGGAAAAAGAAGGGTATGTGTGTGAGCATGTGCACAGACACTGTTTCATGTATCATAAAATAGACATTAGTTGTATGTAATAAGAAAAAGGTTGGGATCTTTCTGTAATTAGTCAATTAAAAAAAGGAATTGACTTTAAATGACACTTAAATGACTGTCTTCAGGGTTTCATTTAAGGTGGGTCAGTATTTTTAACTAACTGATAATGATTTGTGTTAGGATAATATGTTGTCAAATTGCTTACTTGGCTTTCTGAGTGTCAGGACATAAGCACATTCAAGTAGCTCTAGTTTTCCCTGGTTAAATATTTATCCGCCTAACACTTTTAGAAAGGTAACCTGAAAAAAACCTGGCTTTGCCAATGCTGCCAGTTCTTGATATGTGTGATAGAGGAGAGTAAACATGGACAAGTGAATCCACCTGTAATCCCCAGGCCTCACTGCCTGTCAGTTGCCACCTCATCTCTTTCAAAACTTGAACCAAAACTGGCAAGGAGAGAACTCTGGAAGTGCTAACATGAAATGCACTGGCAGGTAATAAATAACGAAAGAAAGAATCTTAGAATTTTGGAGCCTGGAAGAATCATGGGGCTTATTTACTCTGTTTCATTTTAACAATGTGGAAAACCGGAGTTATGGGTTGCCTCCAGTGACTCAGCTAAGTGTGGCGGATCTGGGCATTCATATGTACAACTCCCTCAGCTTTTGTGTTCTGTTCATTATACCCTGTTGCTTTCTCAAATCCTAAATAATTAAAAATGTATGTAGGTAGGTAGCACAGTGGATAGAGTGCTGGGCCTAGAGTCAGGAAGACCTGAATTGAAATCTGGCCTCAGACACTTATTAGCTGTGTGATCCTGGGCAAGTTACTTAACCTTGCTTGCCTCATCTGTAAAATGAGCTGGAGAAAGAAAGGACAAACCACTCCAGTATCTTTGCCAAGAAAACCCTAACTGGGATCATGAGGAGTTGGACATAACTAATTGACTAAACAACAACAACAATACTAACTTTAATGATTTTAAAACTGATTGTATGCTGAAATTGTTGAAATGGCTTTTACCATTTTGAGTATTTGATGTCTCTTCTACAAGGTGGCACAGAGTCTAACTACTCTGTTATACATCCATTAGGCCACTCTAACCTATGCCTTCTGTAACTTCAGGAGGCTCACCTACCACCTTTTACCTGGGAGACCATCAAATCTAAACATATTGTTTCAGTGTCAGTCTATTGGCAGAATATACCCAAAGGACCCTTAAATATTATACTCCCCCCTAACAGAAAAAAGAAAGTCAAGAAAGATGAAATATTTGGTGCTATATTACTTTTTTTTATTTTTTCAAGTTAGGAGGCATAATATATTTCTGAAGGACAGTAGCACACTCATCACAAAGCATATTCAAATATAAGTTTATATGCTAAAATTCATGCTATTCAAGTTTCAATAGCATCCTAGAAAACAATAAAGACATTTCCAACCGTGTAAATACACTGAGTGAACAGTAAACTCTACTAACTGTCTTTGGGAAAATGATACTTTCTGGTGGCAGCATCTGCCAAGACTAAGTAGTATGAATGCATGTATATTAAAGCTACCCCCTGCTGTGAAACACTATACCACTGCTCTGAGTGGTCACCCTCTCTGGGTACCACTGAATTTCTCCGCTATTTTCTGTAGTTCCATGTCCATTGCAGCCAAGTTTTCTAGTTCCTTCTCCTGTAAAAAAGTTAGAAAGAGGATTTAGACCAAGAAATATGAGATCTAAACACAAGTTTAGCCCTAGGTTTGAGATGGATGGGTTAAATAAAAGTCAGCAGGCTTGAACCTCTAATCTGGAACCAGATCATTCTGCTTGCCATCTTCTACCCTTTCTAGCATAAAACCTTAAAACTTTCCAAATGGAGGGACCTTAGAAATAAATGAGTCTATCCCCCCATTTTACAAATGGAAAAACTTCTGCTCAGAGAGTTGGTGACTTCCCTAAAGTCACACAGATACGTAGCGACAATCTTCTGATTCATTCTTCATTGCCCTTTTCATCACTCTACTTCCCTAGTCCTTGAAAAGAGCTACAAGTAAAGTGAGATAGATTTGACCTGCTGGGACTAAGGAATGGATACAAAAATATCCCTGGAGCAGAATTCTTAACCTGAGATCCATGAACTTTTAAAAATATTTCTTAATTGACTCTTTAAATATAATTGCTTTCTTTTGTAATCCTCCATATTTTACTTTATGAATTTTAATACATGATTCCGAGAAAGGGTTCATAGGCTTCATCAGACTGCCAGAGGGGTCCATGACACAAAAAAGATAAAGAAGCCCTGCCCTAGAGGTTTCTTCCAAACTTCTGGTTGCATGAAGAGGAGTATATTTCCAAAGTACTTTGTCTAATGCTATTCTTTGGGAATTGACTTTGGGCCCACAGTTTTCTCCAACTGAGGGCTGGAAGAACCTGAGGAAACTTAGGGAAAGTCAGATATAGTGCTCCAAATAGTTATAAAATAGTAACCATGGCTAATGCAAACACTAACACCCTCAGAATTTCCTTTCCCCCCCAACCCCCAGTTGGTCACATGGTAAAGATAGTAGCTATAAACTTCCAACCAGCTGTTTGGAAGATGGTTTCTATCTAAATTGAAATGTGTTAAGAAGTTTGAGGAGAGAGGAAAATGAAGAATCACACTTTGAAAAAGTGGAGAGTTCTCTGTAATAATTAAATAAAACCTGAATAAATGGTTTCCAAACCTCCATTGGCAAGATAGCTTTGTGACACCACCCTTTCCTCTACCACACACATTTCTTAATTTGCACAAATTTCCCATGACCACTGTTTCTCTAACCTGAAAACATTTTTATTCTTACTCATTCTATATCCCTATACCCTAGTAAGCACTAGTCTTTAAAAGGCCACAGTAGATGAGGCTCCCATAGAACTCCATTATAAATGGCAAGTGTCCCTAAGAGTCCATGATATCATATGCTTTGGTGTGCACTTGCAGAAATGACCTTTGACAAAGGGGAGAATATAGAGTTTGTGGTTTAGATTACTTTTCTCTTTCTTTTTTTAAATTTTATTTTTAATTCATGGAATAAAACAAGCATTTCTATAACATAGTACTAGGTTATTTTTTTTTCTAGGTCGTCTGAAATCCCATGTAATTTTAATACCCAGAGACAGCATGGAGTAGTGGATTAAGAACTATCATCACAGTCAGGAAGACATGGTTCAAGTCTTCCCTCTGACATCATAACTGTGCGAGTCTGGGGAACTCATGACCTCTCAGTGCTGCAGATAACTCCACATCATTTGTAAAGTATTTGCCAATCTACGTTAGTATTGTTCCTTCTATTTGAAGCAATGAAAATGCATGTCTGGATCCACTCCCACTCCTACCCCTCAAATCTGACAAGCTGCATGGATTGCATGCTGTCAATCTTATTTAGGGACATTGTAACTTTTGTTCATTCTATGTGAATCAATAAGGAAAAGGCACATTGCTTAGGCAGGAAGCAATAGCTTTGATAAAAAATTATCTTCACAAATTAGAAATTCTACATTACTGTATCGGTTTCCTTTGTCTTTCATAAGAACTGTTAGCCAGTTAGCAACAGTTCACCTGCCTGCTTTCATAATCTGTGTCTCCTTTAGGGCTGGAGGCACTAATGAACTGTAAAATGAACAAGAATCAAGCAGTAGGAGAGAGGTAGTACGGAAATAAGGGCCTTGTTTATGTAGCTGTTCCCTCTTCCTTCCCTCCCGACACCCCAAACATACACTTAGGTAATCAAGCTTAGGAGGAGACTGTACTCTATTAGGAGAGGCGAGTTCCCTCTGTAATTTTTCTTCACTTTAACTTTCCTCATTTGCTACTATCAAGTATTCTTGGACTCATCTGTCATTTAACATTGACTAACTTTTTCAAATAAAATTCAAAGGCCGTACCTCCTCTTCTGTCAGAGGCCTCTGAGCGAGGCCGCCATCCTCATTCCTGACCATCTGGTGTTTTCTCATGTCTTCATCAGAGTTATAGAATTCTGGAAATTCATCAGACTTCTTCCTGTAATTGAGAAGCTGGGCAAGTTCATCAACTCTGTCATACTGCCTTTTCAGATCATATTTGGGGATGCTGACGAGATTTCTCTTCTCATTATGCTCCTGATTCATGTCTTCATAATAATCATTGTAGTCAGGGAAGAAAGTCTTTTCATTCAAGCTAGATCTGTTTTCCTCTTCATTCTTGGGAAACTGATCACTCATTCTGTCCTTTTCCTCAAAATGTCTGTTCTTCCACTGGAGGGGTTCATAATAAGGACTGTATGGAATTCCTAACCTCTTCATCTTCTCTTCTGCATGATGGGCATTAAATTCTTTTTCTTGAAACCTTGTTTCCTCTCTATTATTTTCACCATCTTCATCTTCTCTCTGCTGCCACTTTCCTGTATCACCTTCCTCACTATTTCTCTTTTCATGGTCCAAATAGCTTTGGTCTTGCTCTTTCCTTCCCCTAGGATGCCTCCTTTCATTGTCCACATTGCTTTCTTTTGCATAATGTTGTCTTTCACTGGGATACCTTTTATCATCTCTATTTCCATGAGTGGAATGAACACCTGGTTCTTGCTCTCTGTCTCCATGATGACGGCTCTTGTCCTCATCAAAGTGCCTCCCTTCCTCACTTTCTCTGTCATAGTGATGTCCCACCTCTTCAATTTGTCTGTTGTGGTGGTTTCTTTTCTCTTCTTCCTGGCTTCCCTCACTGTGATGTCTCTTATCTCTGTACTCTTCACTTGCTCTGTCACTATATCTTTCTTCCTCAAGATCATCAAAACCATGGCTCCTGTGGTAATTCTCCTTCTCTTCACGATAACTTGGTTCCTCCTGTAAATCTTCATAATTGTTTTTGTGGTGGCCTCTCTTGTCCCAGAAATGGTCCTTATCTTCATTTGATTCCTTGGATTCAAGGGTGTTTCTTCTTTCTTCAGAGTGAGCCTTCTTCTCTTCAGAGGATGGATCTAGCCTATATCTCCTGTGATGGTGTCTCGGTTTCAGCAGACGTTTGGTCACTTCAGAGACAGAAGCCTCTTCACTTTCATCTGATTCTACACTTCCATGTTGATTTTTAGGCTCCCAGCCACGTTTTTCACTGCTATTACTCTCACTGTCCTCTTCACTCTCTTCGCTGCTTCTTTCCTGGCTATGTGTCTTCTCAGGATGCTCTACAGAGTATCTGTTATGTTTGAGTGCAAACTGTTCATTGATTTTAGCTGTGGCTTTGTTTCTTTTGTCAAGAAAGGTATTTTGAACCTCCCCTGACTCTTCAAAGAGAGGTTTCTCTTGACTTCCTTCTTCACTGTGATCACTTTTTTTATATTTCTCAGTTTCCCCTTCTACCCTTTCCTTTTCTTTCTCATTGCTATTTTCGGGCTGATGCTTTCTTGCCTCTTTAAGGCCTTGGTCTTCATGAAGATGAAAGCTTGGTTGATACTTTCTTCTTTCTTCTTTATCCTCTTCCTCCTGCTGGAGCTTTGCTGTATTGTCTTCCATTTGCCTTTTAGACTCTTCCTCTGCTGGGTTTTCCTCCTCCAAACTCATAGGTACATGAGTTTCCTCATTAGTTGGGTCTCTTAACAATCTTACTGCAAATTTGGACTTTTCACTTTCATTTTCTGTTTCATCTTTATCCTGTTGCCCACCTAAAATAAAAATTTCAAAGAATACAGTATAACTCATAATCTGTTTCAAACTATTCAATAATTACTAATTTGACTTCCATATATCCTGAGGCTGCTGAGGTATAGACTGAAGTAGATGGCCTCTGAGGACCTTTCTTTTTTTCCTTTACTTTTTTATATTTATTTATTTATTTTTAATTTATGGACAAAAACAAGCATTTCTGAAACATAATATAATAAAAAAAGATGATTGCACATGAAACTGTAAATCTGTTATGTACAACTTGCTATTCCTTTTAAATATATAATAAAGTTGTCATGTAAATTTCTTTTTTTCCCCTCATTCCATTTTATTAGCAGAAAGAGTATAGATTATATAAAAATTCAAATATAGAATTAGAATCACCTTAGAAGTAGAAGGGATCAGCCCCTTTTTTAAAGCATCCTAAATCTCAGCAAAGTCAAATATATTAATACTCATATCTCTATCTATCATGAGTCTCAGGATTATTCTTTATTGTATTCATCCTGATCCTAGGAATAGAAAGATTATTAAGTAAGATGGAGATATGATCACAGATCAACTAAATTTAATCAAGGTAAACAGGTAATTTGTATAATTCAAGTGCCCAAATAAAGCTTCTTCTCTACCCCCACATGATCTATTTTGGTAATCTATAATCATCAAATTAATTAGGGCAATGAACTAATCTCTTCTTATGCACTGTGTAGATAGCACCTAAGAGTTAAGAAAGGCTAGGACATAATAACTGAGGAAGAGATGGAAACCCTCTGACAAAAAGGGGCATTGTTTAAAAATGTCCAGTAAAGGTCACTTGCTACCTTGTAAAATAGTTCATTCAATTTTCAGAGAGCTCTAGTTGTTAGAAAGCCCCTTTTTAAAAACTGAGCTGAAATTTGTGCCATTAAAACTTTCACTCATAGGGCCTCACTTATATCTGATGGACCTAACAATAAGTCAAATCCCTCTTTCACATGCCAGTCCTTCAAATATTTGAAGACAGCTACTACACCCCTTTTCCTCTAGGTCTTTTCTAAGCTAAACAGCACTAGTTTTTTCAGATGTTCTTCATGTGACAATTTCAAGAGTCCTCATCATCCTGGTCTTCTTCTGGACATGTTCCAGTTTATCAATATCCCTTTTATATGTGATGCTCAGAATTTAGCACAACACTCTAGATAAATATGTGACAAGCCCAGAGATAAATGGTACTATTACCTCCCTTATTCTGGATACTGTACATAAACATGTTAACTTTTTTTGGCAAACAGCACAATATTGGTTCAAAGTAGGCTTATCATCAATTAAAAATCCTAAAAATATTCCTAAATAAAATTCCTGTATATATTGCTATTAAACCATATTTCTCCCCAGGCTACCCTTGTCAATTTATTTGTTGAACCCAAGTACAGGGCTTAAAAGTTAGCCCTATTAAATGCCATCTTATTAGAATTGGTTCATTAAATCACCCTGTCCTTTTTGGAAAAAAAAAGCTCTGTCCTTCAACATATAAGCTGCTCCTTTCAGGTTTTGTGGCCTGAAATTGGATACATCTGCCACATATCCTTTTCCAAATTGCTGATGGTAAGGTCAAGGATAGCAAGCCTCCTAGGCTGATACTGATCTATTAATCAACATTCTTTGGCTACTATTATTGAATGAGTTATGAATCTAGCTATCTGTCCTATCATGCAACCTCCATTTTTCCATCTTGTCCCCAAGGATCACAATATTTCCTCAACTATACATACACTCTTCTGTAGCATTGCATAGTAATCTGACTAAAAAAGAAAATACATTTAATCTGTTATAATTTTCTCTTAGTTGACTCCTAATGGTTATTGTTTCCCTTTCTATGGCAATATGTAATATTATTTACATTCTGAGCCACCATGCAAACATCTTAGCAAGAGTGAACTGCAAAAATATCCTTTCACACATCCCGTTGATCTCAGAAGCTGCTCAGGTAGTATGTGTTCCCATTCCTTAGCACATACACTGGCATAATAATGACCGTTAGCTTATATATTTTACAAAGCAATGGAAATTTTTTCATTCTAGTTATTCTTCTTTGCTGTAGATTACATTCAGCTGCAACTGTGATGTGTTGCATTATCAGTTTTGGTTTTGTTGGCTTGGAAGTTCAACATCATCATAAGGAATGGGAGGGTCCGGCTAGCTAAGCAGAAAAAAATTAAGGTAGGAAAAACAATCATTCTCAAGATACAGGCAAATTTCAGAGTCTGAAAGGTGAGAGAATCAATAAAAGCAGCATTTATTAGTAGGGTTGAATGGTGATCCTAGGATAGAGGGCTTGTTTCATACTAAGTATGGGTGTGAATAGTCTTTGATCATGGCCAGAGGGAGGTTAAGGGCACAACTCTGCTTTCAAGTGAAACTTCCCTCTGAATGATGCAAGAACAGTTTCTATGATTAACTTAAATGCAAAAGATGTTTTGTTTTGAATTTTTATCCAGTTAAAAAGGTTCTTGTTTGAAGCAATAATGTCCAAATTGTAATACTCCCTGCTAAATTTAGCTGTAAGCCATAGCAGATGATAATAAATGAAGGCTGCAATTACAGCTCACAGGCTTAAGAATCCTCCTCTGGGGAATGAAATACTGAACCACAAAATTAAGTTGTGACAAGTTCCACAATTTACCCTAATTTCAAAGTCACTAGAATAACCAAAAATGCCATGCAATTTATAAGCATTATGGTATAGTGGAAATAGGACTGGAAATGGAGTCAGGAGATTTTTGTTTGCGTCCCAGCTCCAGTACTTACTAGCTATTTGTTCTTGGGAAAGTCACTTAACATTTGTAAGCCTCAGTTTATTCATCTGTAAAATGAGAATAATAATACTTGCCTTACCCATTTCCCAGGCTTGTTTTGATCAAAGTGTTTTATGAACCTTAAAACAGTATGTATATGTGAGTTATTATGTTGCATCAATTGGAGCATTACAGATATCGGTCAAAAGCTAGTCTTTGATATAGAAGGGATCTTTGCTGTAGAATGATTGGGAGATTGGGCTAGATGATGTCTAAAATCCTTTCCAATTCTAAGACTCTATAGTTTTGAAAATTCTAAATTTCTATGATTCTTACTTTCTTGCAGTTTTTGTTTTTATTCAAGGACTACATACTAGTTTCAAGATGAGTTAATGGAGAGGTGAAACAAGGAAAGGTAAAGAGGAAGATTGAGGGGAAGAAGACTAAGAAAAAACAAGTGGTGAATCCAAGGGAAATTCAAAAGCAGTTCACTCAGAAACAGGGATTAGCAATTTCTTTAGTATTCTGGGTCAAGGAAGCCCATCGATACACTTAAAACAAAGAAGAAAGAAAGGAAGAGGAAAAAGAAAGCATAGAAAAGGAAGGTATTGGCATATAGGGACCTCAAGTCTAAGTTACATCATTTAATTATTATTACCTTTCTCTAGGGCTCTCTTACTGACCATGAGAGCCCAGGCACTTTTGGTCACTGACCAATAAAGGGCCTAGGTTCTGGAAAGCGGAGACCTTACTGCGGACTCATGGGCAGTAATACTTAGGGTGAATGAATGGCATTTATACTGACAAATGAATGGCATGGAAGGGAGAAATGTGTTTATGTGTCTAGACTCTAGAAGAAGACCATCCCATTGTTCTGTGTATACAGATATACATAGAGATCCACCCTTTCATCTATTTCTTCTAGAGAAGGGAAGAAGGAGAAAAAGAAGATACAAAAAAAGAAAAGGAGGTATATGGAGTGGAGAGTCTTGTCATGCACACTAGTGGGAGAGAACCTCTAGGCTACATTGGGTGTTTGGATAACACTGAGTTATTCTTTCAATAGACATTTAATGAGTATGATATGCTGAAGGAAAGGAAAAATAAAAGGCTTCATTCCACTATTTCTAACTCAAGATTTTTTTTTTAATAGTGAAGAAGGGTGAAAAAAAAAGAATGAATCCTCTCGATTTGTTTTTATCTGGCTTGATTTTTGTACATAGTTGAAAAAGGACATATGATTTTGGAAAACACCTTAGTTATATCTCCTCTAAGTAGATCCTGCACTGTTTGTATTTGTTCAGATCATAATTAAAAGTAAAGACATCATCAATGTTCCAGGCACCTCAGATATGAGAAACTAACCCTGTAAATATGCCCAATAAACATCCTGCTTCAAGCTGGAGTTGTAATCCACATATACCTTTTCTATTTTAACAAGGTCCACACTGAAAGAGACTTTTAAATGATCAGCACCACATGTAGGTCAAGTGCTTTTTTGTGTCAATATTAAAGTCACTAACATATGACAATGGCAAGTCAAGAGGAATATATTTAGAAGAATGCTTCATTTCTCAATCTTTTGTCCTGTCTTCCCTTATATTCTCTATTCCTCACCCCATTTCCAATTCCATTATTTAAAATATTGTTCTTAAAGAATGTGTGTTGTTAGTTGAATATTGATTAAGATCAATATCAACTGGGAAGTAGGTTTCTATTAATATGTCATAAAGGTCTGACCTTAGCTATATCCAATTTGATATATCTCCACCATATCTGGGGACTAAAGAAAAAAAAGAGGTTGAAGGGTTAAATTTCATTTGGCTGACACATTATTTTTTCAAGTTTCTAGATAGTGAGTTCACAATCTGGACTGATCAGACTTGATAAGCCTACTACATTGTCTCAAATCCAGTTCTCTCTATTTTTGGATGACCGGAGAGAAGAGATGATCACGTTATACTGCAGGCTGGTTATAGCATAGTGAATATGAATATATATGCATACATATCTATACATATATACATATATACATATGTAGCATGTTGAATAAAAATATGCCAGCACCTAACCTCAATGAAGAATGAATGTAGCTGAATGCCAAGTCAGAGAAATCAGAATCAACTCCTTTTCAGGGATCTTCAATATTCCTCTTTTTCACTTGCTTCTTACCATCTGCCTACAAACAAGCTCATCTTCCTTATCCAACAACAAAAACAAAAGAGTTCTTTGACCTTTCTAACCAAGTCAAAGATGTCTCTCTATACCTTCACTGCCCAACTTCTTGAAAAAACTTTCACCTTCTCCTTACCTCCCTCTCCTTAGTCCCTTGCAATCTAACTTTCATATCATGCTACTAAAGCTACTCTCTTAGAGATATCAATAACCTTCTAATCATGAAATCCAGTGAGCTTTTAAAAATTCTCATTTTCTTTGATCTTTCTGCAGCATTTGACTTATCAAGTGTTTCTGGGTATTCTGGCTATCCTGTCTGGCCTCAGAAACATCTCTCTCTCTCTCTCCTTCCATAGTTTTTCATCTTCTTCCTAACACCTATAGTGGATGTTCCCAAAGGTTGTCTTTGGCCCTTTCCTCTTCTCTTCATATTCTCTACTTTGGCAATAATATTCATTTGACTTTAACAACTCCAAGTCTATCTCTCTAGCTCTGCTCTTTTCTCCCAGTCTTCAAATTCATATCTTTAATTGCATACAAGATATTTCCACCTAGATGTCCCATTGTTAATTCAGATTCAGCGTGTCCTGAGTTTGAACCTCACCTATTTATAACCTCTTTCTTCTAACCTTCCTTTATTTTTCTATCTACAGCATCACTATCCACCTAGTGTTGGTGTTATTTTTTTTAATCTTTCTTCTCCCTTACTTCTATCTAGTCAGCTACCAGGTCCTGTCAATTTAACCCCGACAAAATTTCCCTCACATCTGTTCCCTTCTCCCTGTTACCACTATTACCATCTTACTAGAAGCCCATATTACCACCGGCTTGAATCACTGCAATAATCTTTTGACAAACCTTCCAAACTCTCTTCTCTCCCCATGTCAATCAATTATTCATAATTCTATCAGATTAATTCTACTTTTGAATAGATTTGGTCATACCGACACTCAAAAATTTTCAGGCACTCCCTATCATATACCAAGTAAAATTCAAATTCCTTTGCCTGGCATTCAAGGCCCTCCACAAGCTGATGCCACCTTACCTAGAGCTGTACCTCTACTGTCTTCTACTATTACCTCTACTATTTTCTCTCTCTTTTTTAAAATTTATTTATTTTTAGTTTTCATCATTCGCTTCCATAAGATTTGGGGTTTTAAATTTTCTCCCCCTCCTACTTCTTCCCCCTCCCCCAGAGAGCATACAATCTGATGTGTGCTCTACATATTTATTCATGTTAAACATATCTTCCCATTAGTCATGATATAAAGAACAGTTAGAACTAATGAGAGGAACCGCGAGAATGAAGCAATAAAACAAAACAACAAAGGAAAAGGAGAGCAGATAGTACGCTTCCATCTGCATTCAGACTCCACATTTCTTTCTCTAGGTATGGACAGCAATTTCCACAGTGAATCTTTTGAAGTGGTCTTAGATTCTTGCATCACTGTGAAGAGCCAAGTCTATCAAAGTCAGTCATCCCATAATATTATGGGATTTTTTTTATATTATAGAGAGAGTTATAAATCATGTTACTGTGTGCAATGTTCTCCTGGTTCTGCTCATTTCACTCTGCATCGGTTCATGTAAGTCTTTCCAGGTTTTTTTGAAGTTTGCCTGCTCATCATTTCTTATTGCACAATATTATTCCATTACATTCATATACCACAACTTGTTCAGCCATTCCCCAATGAATTCTGCACGTACAACTAAATTGGATTACTCACGGTCACTTTAAATACTCCCTGTACTTTTCTACTTTTGGAGCTTTATTACATTGTTCCCAGTACACAAAATTCCTTTCTTCACTGCCTCCACCTATTCTAACTCTTCTTTAAAATTCAACTCAAATGCCATCTCTTCAATGAAGCCTTTCTTGATTTCCCTCTACTCTTAGTTAGTAATCAACAATGACCTAACTCACATGGGCTTCACATAACACTTTGTTTACACCTCTGTAAACTACTTGCTGTACAGTGTTTCATGTTACAGATATTTGTGTATGTGTCATAATCCCTTATTAGACTTTAAGCTCTGTGTCTTTAAGATTTTGCTTCTCCCTCAGTGTCTAGCAAAGTTTTCCAAACATAGTAGGTACTTAGTAAATTGCTATATAAAATGCTACAGCTAGAAGTCATCTAAGAGATCATCAACATGGTGGGAAAAGCACTAGATCAAGAATCAGAGGGTTTGGCTCAAATCTTCTGACACTGCCTGTATGACCTTGGGAAGGTCACCTAACCTTCCTGCCCTTATTTTCCTCATCTGTCAAATGAGTGACAGAACTGGGACTAGAATCCAGGTCTTCTGCTGCCCAGCCTAGCCATCTTTCTCCCACACTACTCTGCCAGAAGTAGGGTTGTGCTGGAGCCATCCTGCACTGTCTTGCAAGAGCCAATGGTTAAATTTTCAGTGTGAAAGCATTTATGCCTTAGAAGTCATCAAATGCCATAAACCAGGGTTTGATTTATTATTTAGTTGTTTGTCTAGACTTAGAAAGTGATGGAGAAAATGTTAATAAAACATATTAAACTTTTGAAGCTTGTCATGTGTGCATTTTTCTCCCTGAGAGCCAGATGTTAAATATTTCCCAACATGCCTGGTCAGAAGCAATGTGGCTGCCAAATTAAAATGAAACTGAACCCCAGTCTAAAAAAGGAGGCTGCTGTGTACCACCAAGTCTCTCAGCTCAAGTCAGGGAGCACAAGACTACACTTACCTTTCTTCAGGATTTTCCTGCACTCCAGACTTATGGGAGGAGCATTTGGTCTTGATAAAGCATTGGAAAGGACTTCTACTATGCAGTGGGTCACCTGGAGAAAGAGACAATTTCATTAGCAGAATCAGTCTAGGGCATCGCCTAAAAAAGGCATCCAGAGGAGCAAGTCAATGTGACATGTACCTATGAAGAACACATAGAATTACAGATAGTACACCTAGGAAAAAACCTAGTGACTCTTATAGCATTAATGCAGATTTATAATCAGGATTTATTTCTAAAGCGATGTCCTCTAAAATGGTAATACAATTTTGCCTCATGGTAGGACAAAGATGAAACACCACTATACCTAAGACCACATAATGAAATTTTGATACTGATAAGAAAATAAATAAGCATATGAATCTAAAAGAGAAATACATATGGATGTTGATATTTAAAATAATTGGCAAATATTTATTAAGTGCCTATTATGTATAATACAATTATACTAGGCACTATGGGAAATAAGAAGTGCAAGTCACTGCCTTTAAGGACAATAGAGATGATAGAGATAATTATATATATACACTGATAAGTTATGCAGATTTAGGGCCAACTGGACAAGAAGCTTTATTGGGAATACTTTCATAAAATCTAGTGGTTATAGTAAAAAGATAATTGGATAAAAGGCAATTAAATAGAACATCTCTCTTCTGAGACACTGAATCATAGGAATATAGACTTTCAAGTTGGGAGAGACATTAGAGACTATCTAATACACTACACTCATTTTAAAGTTGATGAAACTGGGTTTCAAGTAAAGTTAAGTGACTTGCTCAGGATTATATGACAGAATCAAGACTAGAACTCAGGTCTTCTAAGTCAGGTCTACTTCTATTATGCTAAGATGCTTCCACCAATTCAAAATAGCAAATGTCAAATACCATATTAAAGGCATAAATAATAAGCATAATTAGAATTCAGAGGAAAAAGAAATACTTAGGTCCAGAGTTGCGGGCAGGTAAGACTTCCTGGGAAAAATAGAACTTGATCTGAGTCTTGAATGAGTAGCACTTTCATAGGTGAAAGGAATAGGGGAATAAAAGTCAGTCATCCCATAACGTGGCTGTTACTGTGTACAATGTTCTGGTTCTGCTTATTTCACTCTACATCAGTTTATGTAAGTCTTGCCAAGTTTTTTGAAGTCTGCCTGCTCATCATTTCTTATAGCACAATAGTATTCTATTACATTTACATACTACAACTTGTTCAACCATTCTCCAATTGATGGGCATCCCCTCAATTTCCAATTCTTTGCCACCGCAAAAAGAGCTGCTATAAATATTTTTGTACATGTGAGTCCTTTTCCCATTTGTATTATCTCTTTGGGATACAGCCCTAAAAGTGCTATTTCTGGGTCAAAGGGTATGCACAATTTTATAGCCCCTTGGGCATACTTCCAAATTGCTCTCCAAAATAGTTGGATCATTTCACAACTCCACCAACAATGTATTAGTGTTCCAATTTTCCTACATCTTCTCCAACATTTATCATTGTCCTGTTTTGTCATGTTAGCCAATCTGATAGGTGTGATGTGGTACCTCAGAGTCTTTTTGATTTGTATTTCTCTAATCAATAATAATTTAGAACATTTTTTCATATGACTATAGATAGCTTTAGTTTCTTCCTCTGAGAACTGCCTGTTTGTATCCTCTGGCCATTTATCAATTGGGCAATGACTTGTATTCTTATAAATTTGACTCAGTTCTCTATAGAGAAATCTTGACTCTTCACAGCAACATAAGAATCTAAGACAACTACAAAAAATTCATGATGGAAATTGCTATCCACACCTAGAGAAAGAAATATGGAGTCTGAATGCAGATGGAAGCATACTATTTGCTCTCCTTTTCCTTTGTTGTTTTGTTTTATTGCTTCATTCTTTTGGTTCCTCCTATTAGTTCTAAATGTTCTTTACATCATGACTGATGGGAAAATATGTTTAACATGAATGTATATGTCGAGCCTATATCAGATTGTATACTGTCTTGGGGGGGAGAAAGTTTAAAATTCAAAATCTTATGGAAGTGAATGTTGAAAACTAAATATAAATAAATTAATTTTTTTTTAAAAGGAACAAGGGAATAAAGAAATGTTTTTCCGAGCTTCTCAAGGTGAGTATCATTTACTTCTTTTGTGTTTCTCATAGTCCATAGCACAATACCAAGCACAAATTAGGTTCTCAAAAGTAGGTGTTGCTTGGGGGAAGAGTGGTATGTATGTAGAAGTGATGGAGGTGCAAAAAAAGAAAAGTGTCAAAGAACAGGAAAATAGAAGACTGCAGAAGAAAACTGCACACAGGAGACACAGACAAGCAGGGAAGTACTGGTGCTACCTTGTTAAATATATACTTTAAAAAAAATAATGTGCATTTAATAGAGATTCGTGGTTTTACATACAATCCTTTTCTTTTTCTCCTTCTATTCTTCTTTGTATATATAGATGTTCATGTTTGTTGATACTTAAGGTCACAATTAAAAAAAATTTGGGGAAAAGAAGTGGGTGTGGCCTTTGCTAGATTTGAAAGTATTTACTTCAAAGTATACCAGAAGGAAATTATTGTGCAACATTGGGACCTCCTTTGTTGTCCAATATTGGGCCACTGCCCCATCTAGGATTGTGCTGGGGGAGCACAAGAGAAGGCATCTATATCCTCAAGTGCTAGAACTTTGATTCTGATTCTGAAAAAGCCAAGACCTCCAGTTGACAAAGTTAGTTTCAAACCTTGGGGCTCTAGTGTAAGGGGATCTACAATGCCTTTCTTGATCCCCACTGGCTGCTTGTTCCATATCTCTCCAACTACTTGATTTTTATTCTGTTAATAGTTGTATATTCACCATATTTCCTTCTCTGTTAGAATGTGTTTCCTTGAGAGCAGAGAATTCATTTTTTGTTTTTGTTCTCTAATACCTAGCAGAGTACACAGTAGGCACTTAATGGCTGCTTGTTGATTGATTGATCCAAGGGATCAGGCTTTTGTAGCAACTGTGAAACCTGACTTTTTTTTAACCATAGGAAATTTCACAGCTGAAACCAGCGAGTGGTTTTGTTATCACATTGATGCTGGGGTTGGAGGAAGGAAAGAGATAAAATACCACTTTTTAAGAAAAAAAAAACGTTGGGGAAACAAAACTAGGCTTAGGAGGTGGATGCTTTGAGGAGGTGGAGGGGAAGAGGGAGAATTCTAGAATTGTGCTTTTAACTATAATTTCAACTCACCATTTCTTCTGTGTGGTCTCCTTTATCCACTGGCATGGAACTGACAGCTTTAGAAGAGGGTAGAGAAAGAGTTGAAAGTTTTATGAATTGATTTAAAAAAAAAACACAACAAAACTAAAATATATGAACCAAAATTCACAACTCTCCTATCTCTCTATGAGACAATTACCATAACTCACACTTCTACATCACTTTAAAGATTGCTAGGTGTTTTCTCACCTACAACCTTGTGTGGCAGGCAATTGTCCCCATTTATAGGTGACAAAACTGAGGCTCGGGGAAGTCAAATGATTTGCCCATGGTCACAAAGCTAAGTGTTGAAGTTATGACTCAAATCCAAGGCTCATGACTATAAATTCTGTTGTCTTTCCACTCCACATTCTTTCAAGACAGAAGCAGAGAACTGAAGCTGTTCCTAGTATAAACCAAATGCTCATGAATGTTTTAGATTTCAGGCTGGATTCTGTGCTATGCTTTTCTTTTTCTTTTTTACATTCTCTCTCTCTCTTTCTCTCTTTCCTCTTCCTTTCCCCCCCCACCCTCCACCTCAGCCCTTCAGTTGGGAGAGTTACTGGTGCTCAAGTCTACAGAAGAGCAAGCAGAAACAAAGCCAAGCAAGTTTTGAAAATGACACTCATTTGTAGTGAAAACTGTCCCTGTGTGATATTGTCCACTGGAGGCTTCTGCTGTGACTGTGAAACATACAACTTGACTTATCCCAGAATAAATACTAATATGCTAGGGGGAGGAAATTTTCTGGCTTTAAAAGTATGCACATTTATCAAATATTAAATGAAAAAGTATCTCTTTTTGCCATCTCTATTTGTTGCACTCCAGGCAACTACTTACTTGGCCTGCTCCTAGTCTCAGCTCTGCTTTGTAGCACCCATTGTTATTACAGGTGCCAAAGTCTAGTTGAGCAGGTAGGTGGAGTTTGGGGAGGGGGAGTAAAAGGGAGGTGGCTCTAGTAACTGATGGTAAAGAAAAAAAGAAAAAGAAAAAAAAAAGCATGAGGCTTATATAGTAAAATTAACCTATAATATTTCTTTCCCTTCTCCTCACTCCTACCACAAGACAAAGGTTTGGGTCTCCCCCCTCCCCCCCCACCACTTAAAAAAGTTTCTTAGGCTGTTCTTTCATGATTTCATTGTTCTTTGATATTCATTTTAACCTTATGGGAATGGGAGAGAGAGAATGAAGGAAGAGAGACATAGTAGGAGATGCCTCAGATACTGTACCCATTGGTTGGCAGAACTGAATGGGCACTCACTTCTAGAGGACCCTGAGGGCTGAGCTGTCTTGATGTGTGGGGAAAAGCTCATTGAGCCCACTATGTCTAGTTGACATGATCATGCTTCACATTCTAATCAGCCTTCTACAGAGGCCATTTTGTCATTTTCCCTGATGGCACTGTGAATACCACCCCAACTCCCAATACTTTCTGTCTCCTGTTCTGGGCACCATATCTAGATCAATACTACCATTGCTTCTGGAAAGGGTATGTCTGTCAGCTGCCCTATTAGACAATTCACAATTCCTATCATTCTACAAACTCAAACTCCCTTCCTGACCACCACTTCTCTACATATGTTTTCCCTCCCTTATTAAAATGCAAGTTACTTGAGGACAGGGATCAATTTATTTTTCAAATTTTATTTTTAATTTATGAAATAACACAAGCATTTTCTTAACATAGAATAAAAAAAAGATGATTGCACATGAAACTTCAGCTCTATTATGCACAACTTGCTATTCCTTTTATATACATACATACATACATACATACATATATGCATATACATATATGTATAATTAAATTACCATGTAACATTTTTTCCTCCTCCCCTCACAGACCATCCCCCTCACCCTAGAGATAGCTGCCATTAGATACAAATATGTAAAATCATTCTATATATACTTCTATTTATCAGTTCTTCCTCTATTTTTGCATTTGCAGTTTAATACATAGAGAAGTTCCTGGCACATAGTAAGTACTTAATAAGTGCATTTTAATTCATTGACCTGAAAAGAACAATCCCCCCCCCCCCATTTTAGTTACAGAAGCTAAGACCCAGGGAAGGTAAATGATGGAAAATGTTATTTTTCAGTGGCTGAGCCAGAAGCAGAACACGTTTTAAGAGCTCTAATCCCCTCCTCTGTTTAGCTCACTGTTCTATCCATTACATCAGACTGAAAATCGTCTTGCTCCCATTTTGATTCCTTAGGAGTCAGTAAGAACTGCCCAAGAGAAGAAAAAGAAACTCTCAGCAGAGGAGAGAGTGAAGTGTGGAGAAGTAAATTACCTGCAATCTCCAAAGAATGCAGGTAGTAAATTATGACCTACTAAATGATTGCATGAGCTTTATGATTTACAGACTTCAAGGAGGAGTTGAGTTGCTCAGAAATTTATTTTTCGGGCGGGGGGGGCAATTGGTAATTAGTTTCTTAATTATTTGCAAGTCTGCTCTACTACAGTCAAGTCAGCTCCTATAATGTTGGGTAGCTTCTTTGAGAAATTTATATTGCAGATAATAAGAGTCAACAATTCCATTTTATGTAGTTGTCAAGATGCAGAAGTATTAATGTTATTAACCTGAATCTGACTCAGGCAATCTTATATCTAGATTGCAGTGCTCTGCACATGTTGATACATAGATGGAGTTGGCGGAACTGTTTTCTTGCTTTCCTGGGTTTGTGGATGATTCATTCTGGAATCATTTGTTTGAAAGACTGCCAGGAATTTGGGGAAAAAACATTTTCATGTGAATAAAATAGTTTCGCATTTCCTGGAGTACCACACTTATATAAAAATACACATGCTGATTTATATCATACTTATTTGTGAAATGTCATTTTCTCCACTTAGATTATATACTCTTTGAGAACATGATTTGCTCTGCTACTTACTGCCTATGTGACCTTGGGCAAATTAACTTCTCAGGACCTCAGTTTCCTCATCTGTAAAATAAGGGAGTTGAACTAGATGACTTCTAAGGTCCCTTTAAGCTCTAAATCTATGATTCTACAACTGGATTTTATTTCATATTTGTACTCTGGTACTCATTGACTTAGAAATAGGAAGTGATTAATAAATGTTTATTGAATTGGGGCAGCTAGGATGTTGCAGTGGATAGAGTGCTGGCTCTCGAGGTAGTAAGACTCATCTTCCTGAGTTTGAATCTGGCCTCAGACACTTATTAGCTGCATGACCCTGGGCAAATCATTTAACCCTGTTTGCCTCAGTTCCTTCACCTGTAAAATGAGCTGGAGAAGGAAATGGCAAACCACTCCAGTATCTGCTCAGAAACCCCAAATGGGGTCATGAAGATTTGCACATGACTGAAATGACCAAAACACACACACACACACACAGGCATATGTATGTACACATGTATAAACACATATATATGTATGTGTGCTTATACATTACACATGTATGTATATATGTATGTGTGTCTGTATATACATGTATATGTATATGATTGTGTGACCCTTGGCAAGTCACGTAAATTATTAGTGTCCCCAGAAAAGGTGCCTTTGTCAACATTGTCATCCTATTGGAACATATAGGAAAACAAAACAAACTTGGAGCCACACAGATGCCTAAAGGTGTCAGTATAAATATTAAACAGATCTGTTGAATGGCAGCTCAGTGTATATGTATCACAATATGTATATGCAACATGCATACATAATTTCTCTTCTGCCCTCCTACTCCAGCAATCGCTAAAATATATTTCCAAACTGCTATACCCTCAAGCTATCATACTACATCTCTGCTTTCTAGACCAAACTCCTAAAAAAAAAAGCTGTCTATACTTATTGCCTCCACTTCCTCTCTTCTCGTACCTCAACCCTTTGCAATCTAATTTTCAGGTTCACCATTCAACTGACATTGCTCTCTCCAAAGTTACATTACTGACCACCTTTCTGGATATTATCTCCTCTCTGGGTTTTCATGATAACAGCCTTACTTGGTTTTCTTCCTACCTGCTTGGCCACTTCTTTACACTCTCCTTTGATCAGTCTTTGATTCTTTACTCTCTCTATAATCTTTCTCAGAGGTGTTATCATCTTTAGCTCCCATGCATTCAATTATTATCTCTATGCAAATGATTCACAGATCTATAAACCTAGCCTGAGTCTCTCACCTGAGCTCCAGTCATGAATCATCACGTAATTATTAGACATTTCAAAATAGATATCCTGGAGACATCTCCAAACAAATGTGTCTAAAACAGAGCTCCGATTCTCTCCCACAACCACCCCTCTTCTAACCCTCTATTTTTGTCAAAGACACCACCATTCTTTCAGTCTCCCAGATTCATAACTGTGATGTTATCCTTGACTCCTCACTTGCTTTCATCTATATATCCAATTAATTGACAATTCTTGCTGTTTCTGCCTCTACATCATTTCTTGCATTTTAGCCCCCTTTTTTTCCCCTACTAATATAGCCATCACCTTGGTTCAAGCCCTTATCACTTCTCAGATTATTGCAGCAACCTTCCCTGCTGACATTCTTTCTTCTCACCAATACATCATCCACATAGCTGCCAAAGTGATTTTTCTTAAGCTCTGATATACCATGCAATTCTCCTACTCAATAAATCCAGTTGTCTTAAGAATCAAATATAAACCCCTCCATTTAGCTTTTAAGCTTTTCATAAGCTGACCCCAAACTGTCTTTCTAGCCTCATTGTATATTTCTTCCCCTCTCACACTCTATGATCCAGGCAAATTGGCCCTCTCTCTGCTCCTTAAACGTGGCACTCCATTTCCAATCATTGTATTTTTGTACTGGCTATCCCTCATGTCTGGGATACATTCACTTTTCACCTCACCATCATAAAATTCCTGGCCTTTCAAGATTCAGCCTCAGCATCACCTACCACATGAAGCCTTTTCTGATTCCTCCAATTATCAGTACCCTCCATCTGGAACAACTTTGTATTTATTTCTATTTTATTTGGGATTTACTTCTTGTCTCCCCTGTTAGAATATATGCTTCTTGAAAATAGAAGTGGTTTCATTCTTTATATTTGAATCACCAGGCTCCAGCACAGTGCCTAGTACATGTTAAGTGTTTAACCAATGCTTGTTGATAGATTGATGATGATCATTTTTTTAAGGCAATAAAATTTCAATCTTCATTTAAACCTGAGTTTTAAATGTTGCTATCTTAAAGATATGACTCAAGGCATTTCAGTTTGCCTGTGTCACTTTGCACAGTGCCAGGCACATAGTAAGTGCTTAGGTAAGTGATTTTTGACTGACTTTGCAAAGCTCCTTAGACCTTTATAGTTTACATTTTTACTTTGTCCTTTTTAAGTCCTTTTCACTAGAGAATTTCAAAGCATTTATATATAGCCTCTACATGGTAGAATCACTACAGCCCTCTCAGAATTCCATGTCACAGACAGAGAAGCTGAGACAGAGTAGCATAATGAGTAGTTCTAGGTCACACAGTAATAGGAAGAAGAGAGAACAAAGCTCAAGTGTTTAAAAACATTTAATACTGTAGACCAGTAAAACAACAACCACATATGCAAAACAACATCATAAACCAGTAAAATAATAATCTTATGGATGATTACCACCTTGTAAACTTTTTTCCACTCAATTGCTACCTTATCTTCATACATAGTATTACAATAGGTAGTGAAATAGAAACAAAATACTACCACTTCCATTTACATTGTTTCTTGCCAAGATGAATGCCTGATGGTTGTGATCTCAAGCCCCTTATGCCAGGCAAAACAAAGTGACTCAGATCATTTTCATCCTTTACACAATAGCCAAAGAAATCCAAACTCTCTAGTTCAGTAACAAAAGAGTTACTTGGAATAGCAAAGTGTATGAAAATTTAAGCCAGGGAAGGAAATTTAGGCAAGTTTACTAAATGCTCGAATTTCAACATATTTGACTTTTACTTCTTTGCCTTCATTTCTATGTAGTCTCTCTGGTGGGTGGTTCACCAGCTATTTTAATTTCATCCCAGGAATGACTATTTCCTAAGACTACTTCTGCTGTGTAGCTGACTTTTCCCAGATGAGAAATCTGTAAAATTCTTTGGAATGAAAGGCCTCTGAAGCTGCAAGATGATTGCTCCCTTAATGAAACATAAAGTTATCTATTAAAATCTAGCTAGAACCAGCCTGCCCTCAACTCCGCTATTTTTAAAAGTATTCTATTTTTACATAAAAGTGTAAAATACTCAGCACCCAGTGTTATTGAATTGCTTTCATTAACCCCTGTAGGTGCCAAAGTAATAATATCCAATATGTTCAGGTGGGTGATAGTGTTCTTTTTCATAGCATCAAACTGCAGCTTGATATTAATTTTTCAGTTGCTAATTTTGCAGAACAATTCACTTCTTTGGGATTAAGGTTTCCATCTTTCCATTTGATCCTTTGTAATTAGATCAGACGCTCTATGTTTATGAAAGTAAGCACATCAGTTTTGCCTGTGAAAATAAATTCAAAGCTTCTTTCTTTGGGGGTGACATGCTAATTGCTATTGGCTTTCATCTACAAATAACATCTGTGACATCAGACAAGTGATTTTTGGGTCCCATAAGGTAACCCCTTTCATGTTATGCCAGTGCTTTTAATTAGTTTACTTTTGCATAAAGCAAGACTCACAAAACATCTAAAAAGGGAAAACTAAATGATCAAATTATAAATCAAATAAACAGATGGTAAAGTAACTTTTGAGCTGTGTATAAAAGGAATTTCATATGACCCAAAACTGGGAATCTACCATCATAAATGTTTACAACCTCACTTTAGTTTTGGTTACAGGATGAAAATACTGAAGTCAAATGAAAATCTAAGTACCATTTTATGTATGTTGTTGATAGTGACAAGTATAATGTGCCTACCCCATGAACATTTATTTTTAACAAAGAAGGCACTGGAACAACACTGATCATTGTGGGAATTTATGAAGTCTCTTTCATAGGAAATCTCATTAACAAAGTGATAAGACTAGATGACCTTTTCAGGTTCCTCCCAGCTCTGTCTGAATTTCACATTTCCATTTTAGATGTAGGAAAATATGAAGTTTTGTTGAAGTATTTTCATGGATGAGAAAATTGTTGTAAGGATTTTGTGATTAAATAATAAAATTTTAAACAAATCTTCATAGATGTCATAATTTGTGGTTGTTGTCTACAATGGGATATATACAAGGACTTTAGTCTTTTAGCTAATATCAATTCTTAAAAATGTTTTGAACACAAAAGACTCAAAATTATTCATTTTATCTCCTTCAATCAAAGAGCAATGTCTATTGCTGAATAGAAGTATATTGATTCAACTGTCTCATAAGGACTATGTATATAAAAATCTTCTGAAGATATGTAATCTGCAAAGTAACAGATCTTCCCTTGTAACTTTGTGTCCAAATTTTGAATTTAATAGTGATGGTCAAATAGAACTACAGATCCATTGACAAATAAGTGGTGAGAATTTTTTTTTCTTTATCTAGCCCCCTGAATTTACCAGCATAGGTGCTAAATTAACTCCTCCTACAAATGCAGATCAACAAATATTCAGCACTTATATCCTTAGAGAATTGCTTGAGGACATTGAGAAGTTTTATATTGTACTTTAAATGCTTTATATAATGCATAAGTGCTTTAGATATGCAAAGTAATTTATATAGCTTATGTAATCAGAGTCACACAGTTGGTAAGTGTCAGAAGTAGGAATATAACCCACATCATTCTATCTCTGAGAAGACTGGCCCTCTATCCATTGTGACTTACTGACTCTGGGTAAGAGATTAACATACTGTAATTTCAGCAACAAATTATAGTTCAACAAACATTTATCAAATGACCACTACAAGCAAGGTAAGGGATCAGAACAAGGGGGGAAAAATTAAAAAGAAAATTCAAACCTGACAGATGGTGTAGTTCTTGAGTAAAAATTTTGTATTTTGAAAATAGGTTTTATTAATTTCTACATCATAAAAAGGGAAGAATATAGTAAGCTTACATGAAGAGATTTTTACCCATTCAAAAATTTTAGAGACCTAAGAAGGTATTTTTTTCCTGGGACAATGATTTTGAAAGATAAGCTACTAAGTGTGAAGCACACAGACACAGAAACTGCCAGATACTTATTGTCTTCAGCTTCATTTCTAAAACTGATATAAAAACTCTACCTAAGATTTATTCTTTAACTTTTTTCTATTGTCCTCATCTACTTGGTTCTTCCCTCCTCCCCCAGGTATGTGAAAATTGAAAGAAACACCCATAGGAATTTCTATTATTAGCTAACTGAAACTGATTGAATTGTATTAGAAAACACCACCACAGAAAATGAAGTATATATACAGACAAATTGATTATACATATGTGTGTACATACACAAATACATACAGGGAACACATCTTACTACATTTTATGTATTCATAGTAAAATAGAAGAAGCAAATGCCTAATTAGTACTGCACTGTTTATACTCAAATATCTTCTTGGACACTTTGTCAGAAGTCAGATAAACAATTTAAGATACTCTAGATTAAATTTACATCTAGACCGATAGAAAAAGCCATAGATTTAAGAAATGAACACACACAGACACACACACACACACACACACACACACACACACCAGATTTCTTTCCCTCTCCCCAAACCCCCACCACCTTACCCCATATTAGGTGTTATTCTTTGGGGCAAAGGTTTTTCAGTAAAATCAAGTTGCTATCCTTTTAATACTCTTTCTCATCCAAAATGGGTAGTAGGAAAGTTAAATACTCCCCAGGTTAGGCTAGGAAGACCCCCAAACTTCCCCAAAACTGAAGCAAGAAAAGGGAAAAGCAAGAAGGTTGTACAGGAATTATCAAAGTGACACTGGAAACAGAAGAAGCCCCAAGAAAGAGGGAAAAAACTCCTCACATCCCAATCCTGTCCCTCAGCCTCACACACATTTTCTCCAATCCTCCCAGGATCCAATCCATGGCACTGCAGGGGAAGGATAGAAGGAATTACAGCCGGACATAAGGGAATAGCTCCAGACAGATAAGGAGCTATCCGAGGTGCTGAATTGATTCTCCAGATCAACTCACCTCCTAGAGCCATGGCTCCCAGTAGACTGAGCAGTATTAAGGGCGGCATGGTCCTTGATCGTTGAGGATCAGCGACTTGTGCAGATCAGTTGGTGGGGTAGTTAGTGGAGAAGGACCTGGAGAAGAGGGGAAAAGGAGGTATTAGCTGAGCTCGGAGGCAACCGCAGCAGTAGGGGGCTCGGGAAAGAGCTGCTCCATCCACCACACCCTAGGTTCACCGAGGGGTGTAAAGAAGCAGCTGCTCTACCTCTATTTAAAGGGGTTGAATGGGGGCGGAAGGGCCAGGAGGGGGAAGACAGCAAGAGCTGAGATTCAGTCGGGAGGCGGGGACCCCTAGCTCTGTCCTCCTGCGTCACGACGAGCCCAGGAAGAAGTGGCTGGGAGGAGAGGGGGTAGAGGAGGGGGAGGGGTTGGAGAGAGACATACAGGAGGGAGGGGTAATCGCCGCAATGAGGCAGAAACTTCAGCCTGCCCAGACGCCTACTACCTTAGGATTCGGGAGCTGGAAGCTGAAGGAAAGAAGAGAAAAAATGGAGAAAGTTGGTCCAGATCTGACTCTGGAGGGAGGATCTACGCCCAGCCTACCTTCTTGTATCCCCCACCTCTACTCCTACCCTCAACTAGAATAACAATCTCTTCACCAGGGGGTTTTTGAGGTTGCCTCCGAATGCACGCATGTGCTTATATATATTAACTGTGTATAAATGCATGCATATATTGCTATAGTAGATGTATTTAGATGTCTGTATATTAATCAATGTTTGCTTTATGGTATGAACATGCTGCCAGGGAAGAAGAAAGAAGGGTGGTAATAGGGAAAGGAACTGAAGGTGGAGACAAATAAAAGAAAGATTGTTCTTAAAAGAAAAACAAAGCGACCTATCATAATCTTCCAAGATTATGGTTCCTAGATTATATAAAGTCCTGGGTGAAAGACTACTAAAGAATATAAGGAACCATGTTATTACTGCAATTTGATATTCAATAAATACTGCAGAGTTAAAGTGAAAATCAGTCCAACTGTGTGACCCTTGAGTTTTTCCTGTTCATATGGAGAGAGATATTTTTCTCAGTTTAGAAGAATGTTCCCTATATTAAATATAGCCCAAACAACCCAGGCTTTGTCTTTGGTTTTTTACAATTGTGATAGGATTGTATCTCTGCCATATAGCCTTGAAAAATGAGGCAGCATTCTACAGTAGAGACAGCATTGGCTCTTGAGTGAGAGGACCTAGGTTCATAATCCTACCTCTAACATTTACTGCCTGTGTGACCTTGGACCTTAGTTTCTTCATCCTTAAAATAAGGGAGTTGGATTAGATAGTTTCTAAAGTCTACTCTAGGTCTGCGATGCTATGAAAGGTATATTCCCTTGGAAGAGATAAGAAATGTTCTCCTTTCTCACATTGATCATCCAAACTAGTCTCTTCTCAATGGAAAAGTTGCAATGTGATTCTAGAAGTATATGCCTTGCATCAGAAGGAAAGAACATTCCAGAGTCTTCATTTACAATGTAGGTCTTAGTAAATAGGTTATGGACACATATTTGTGCCTTCACTCAAGGTCTCCTTTCAGGGAAGGAATATAAATATGTAGAATTGGAGAGTAGCATTTGCATTCCTGAGTTTAATGGAGTCTAATTATTTTCACAGAGGTTAGGTTGCAAATTTGCCCTTTTGTTTGCCTTCTAAAGTAAGCCAAGTTACTTCACCTCAATGACTTCCACTGACTATTTTAATTTGATATTAAATATTAATATTAAATAATGATATTAAGTACAATATCAAGTGGTACATTAAAAAAGATATATACTATAAATGTAAAGCAGTAAAAATCAAAAAGCGGTGTTTTGAATGGGCTCTGCCCTTTTTTCCAGTCGTGATTTATATGAAACTCTTCCCCTGATGAAAATTCATTCACGTTACAACTGCTCCTTAAAAGTCATTGATTCACCTCACACAAAGCTCTAAAATTTCAGTCTCCAGAAAAAGAAGATTGAATTCCTATTTCCCCTTCTTCTGCCAATAAATTCCTCCTTATTCTTGCTGCCTCAAAATTCTGTAGGCAATTAAAGTTCCCTTTTTCTTTCATCTGAATGACTGGGATGCCAAGTTCTTTCTTTTATTTCTAAGACTAGATATGTGCATAGTATGTTGCTAAACTGATGACAAGACTATATTCATGAGGCAGGAGGCAGTTTAAAGTGTTTTCAAGTGAGCAATTTAAAATTCAAAAGAAACGTTAACATAGATTTGTGAAAGACACCAGGCCTTTCTTCTCCATGATCTGGGACTTGCATTCACAACATTGACCATTCTTTTTATGACCATGGTTCAGGCTGCAGATATTGCTGAAAAGGAAACTTTGGGGAATACTAAAGAAAAGAAAAATCCATATCCTAGTGGAGACAAAAGGTTTTGCATTTGATTTCTGTGAGAACTGCTTTAGCCACAGGGAGGATATTTGGACTTTCTCCCACTAGTCAGTAACATTCCTTATTGTAATTATTATCTTTAAAATGAACTGCTGGAGAATTCAGTGCACCTGAAGCAGACAGAAATAGTATTTTATCACCTATAATGAAAAGGATTTGCTCTTCATACAAAGTGTGTTTACACCACTCTCATTAAAGGTGTAAAAGCCTAACGTTAAACAAGGAAGTGTAGTTGGTGATAATCAAAATCCAATTCTCTTAAGTAAGTTATTTCATGGATATTTTGGCTATGTAACTCAGTGATCAAATCTACTTTCCATTTGGACCATCTCAATCAACACTCCCCATGCAATTTGGCACACACAGTTTGTAAATCATAACACACCTGTTACTGCATGTATTTTGACACAGTGATTAAAATTTATATTTCACCAGTGAAGCAGTAATTGCAACAACCTTTTTTTATGAACAAAGTTTTTCAGTATTCCATTTGAATCCAAATGGGCAGCCACTGGAAGGGTGTTTGAAGGACAGATGGATTGGTTTTTTTAAAATGAAAAGAAATTTTGCACAATAATGGACAAAAGGGTATATCAATAATGAAGGGGAGAAATATTGCCACTTTGGAAGTGAGATGAACAGGTTTAATGTCTGTGAAACTGATAGTGATGCATCTGTCTTTCAGTTAATCCTTTGGAGGTAAAATAATCTTCAATTAGTTGATTAGGGGGCTGACACTAGATATACACTTGGATGTGATTACTTTGCTACTCAATTTTGCTCTGCTGTTTTGTTTTGTAACTGGGGAGAGTTAAATGGGAGTGAAGGGTATATTAGAAAATAATTGTAATATTAAAAACTCCAATGACATAATTTTAAAAAGAGGAATAACACTAATAATCTTGAGGACATAAACTACTGCCTTTTTATATCATGTTAATTTTTAATATATCCATCCCCTTTGCCTAATAAGCCATCCTTTATAACAAATATCTGGAAAAAGGGGAAAAAATGTGGTACAAGAAAACTAATGAATAGTTATCAGGCATTCCTTCCCCCCCCCACTTCCTACGTCCCTCCCTCCTTCCATTAAAAAAAAGAATTATAGAATCACATAAGCACAATTAAGCAAAACAAATTTGTGCATTGGTCATATCTACAAAATGTTTCTTATTCTGCATATCACTCAATCATCTTTCTGCCATGAGGCGTATAGCATTCTTCTTTATCACTCATCTGGAATCATGATTGATCATTTAACTGTTAAATATTCTTAAGTATTTCAGAATTATTCATTTTTATAATGTTGATGTTAAAGTGTAAATTGTTCTTCTAATCCTCTTCATTTCATTCTGCATTAGTACCTACAAGTCTTTCCATGTCTCTTTGAAACTGTCCTTCTCCTAATTTCTTTCAGTACATATTATTCCATTATATTCATAGGTCACAGTTTGTTCAGCCATTCATTTCCCAATTGATGGACACCCCCTTAGTTTCCAGTTTTTTGATAATAAAAATTTTGATAATAAAAAAAGAGCTATTATAAATATTTTTTGAGTTAGATGTGACTTTATTATTTTAGTACATAAACCAAAATTTATGCAACCAGAGCAGAGCAGAGAGATGATTCATATTTCCAATTGGTTGGAAGCACTCTCTTGGGCTTGTAGTACCGAGCCCATCGGTGGATTCGACGCTCTTTCAGAATCAGATGGAATTTAGAATCCTTGTCCTTTCTGTTTCTCTCAAGATGCTTTCGAACAGCAACAGCTTTCTTGATCAAGTGATAAAGATCTTCAGGATGGCCAGGGGCAAGTCCCTTGGACTTTAAAATTCTCAAAATTTTGTTGCCAGTTACAAAGCGTCCTTGTGCCACGCCTTGAGAATCCCTCAGGATCACACCGATCTGGGAGGGCGTCAGGCCCTTCTTGGCCAGCTTGTAGATGTGCTCCTTCACGTCGTGCGAGGTGAGCTTCTGCCACGTGGGCACGCTGCGGCAGTATAGCAGAGCCGACTGGGACAGGCCCTTCCCGGGAGCGTGCATGCGACCCATGATGGCAACGATCTGGCGGCGAAAGAGCTATTATAAATATTTTTTGTACTAATAGTGTCTTTTCCTCTTTATTTCATTTCTTTAGGATATAGGCCTAGCTGTTTTATAGCTAGCTCAAAGGGCTTGTACTATTTAGTAAATTTTCATATATAATTACAAATTGCTTTCCAGAATGGTTGGATCCATTCACAACTCCACCAACAGTGTATCAATGTCCCTGTTTTTCCATAGTCCTTCTAACTTTTTTTTTTGGTCTTCTTTGTCAATCTGATGGGTGTAAATTGTAATCGCAGAAGCATTTAATTTGCATTTCTCTAATTATTAGTGATTTGATGCATTTTCCCACATGGCTGTAGATAACCTTGGTTTCTTCTCTTGATAATTATCTAATTCGTATCAACTAAGAAATGACTTGTTTTTATAAATTTGAATTAATCACAATATTTTGGAAATGACATTTTAATCAGGGAAACTTACTTTTCCCCTTAGCTATTTCCCTTCTAATCTTAACTGAAATGAAAATTTCCATTTTATCTTCTGTGATCATCTCTATCCCTTGTTTGGTCACAAACACTTCCCTACCAATGATTTTGAAAAGTAATTTCTTCCGTGTTTCTCTAATTTATGTT